TAGTCAATATTTAATTCTATATAGTAATATAATTTCTGTTTATAATAATTAATAATAAAATAATCAATAAAAAGTATTACTTTAGAATATACATTTCGGCAAGATTTAACTTCAGGCTAATTCATAGACGTACATACCTTGTAAAGGAGAAAAGGCATTCAAAGATTGAAACATTATTTTTTTTTTTATCTTTCTTGAGACAAGGTCTTAACTGGGTAGCACTGACTGGCCTGGTACTCACTGTAACAACCCAGGTTGGCTTCAAACCGGCAAGAATTCATCTGCCTCTGCTTCTACCTCCCGTGTATTGAGAGTAAAGGCATGCATGACCGTGCCTAGTGAAATCTTACTCTCCATATTACCTCTTCCCAGAGTTGGTGACACACACATGCGACCAGAGCATATTGGTGAACAACGTATTACACTAAGTGAATTCTGTCTGCTTCTGAGGAAGTCTGAACCACATAGCGAAGAGCTGCTGAAAGACATCCTCCCTTTAGCACACCTGTGCTCCTTGAAGGACATCGTGCCATACAACCCTGTAAGTGGAGTGGAAAGTGAGTCTTCTCTCAAAGGCTGTTGGGAGTTTTAGTTGTGTTGCCCGTGAAAGTGCTGAGCTAGTCTGACAAACACATTCTGCTTATGAACTGTTAGTGCTGTAAGCCTCCAGCTGTCATAGCTGAAATACTTTAATGAAAATTTGAGTTCAAGAAAGTTTGTATGAGTGTAATGAAATATCCAAGTAAAACACTACATTTTAGGATCAATTTTGTCAAAATGAATCAGGAAATAGGATGCTGTATATTTCTAGACATTTCCCCCTTTTTCCATATTTTTATTCAGGGCTTGTGTAGCATTCTGTTTTAAATTTTATTATACATTTTTTATTGATATTTATTAAGCTCTACATTTTTCTCTGCTCCCCTCCCGGTCTCTCCCCTCGCCCTTCAACCCTCCCCCAAGGTCCCCATGCTCTTAATTTATTCAGAAGATCTTGTCTTTTTCTACTTTCTACTTCCCATGTAGATTAGACCTATGTAAGTCTCTCTTACTGTCCTCATTGTTGTCTAAGTTCTCTGGGATTGTGGTTTGTAGGCTGGATTTCCTTGCTTTATGTTTAAAAACCACCTATGAGTGAGTACATGTGATAATTGTCTTTCTGTGTCTAGGTTACCTCACTCAAAATAATGTTTTCTAGCTCCATCCATTTTCCTGCAAAACTCAAGCTGTCGTTATTTTTTTCTGCTGTGTAATACTCCATTGTGTAAATGTACCACATTATCCTTATCCATTTTACGGTGGAGGGGCATTTAGGTTGTTTCCAGGTTCTGGCTATGACAAACAATGCTGAAAAAGAGGTTTATTATCTCCCCCATTGGAAAGACAATCCTATGTGCTTAACATTCCTGGTTTCTCTGGAGATCTGTGGGCACAAGGATCTTTGTGCTGTGCTGCCAATATTTAGTGTCCCTTATTTAGTCTCTTATACTGTTACAGTACTGTGGTCTTAAACTCAGATTTAATTCAGAATTAACTTTTGAAGTTTTGTAATTTAAGTGGAAAATTCATATTCAACATACTGTATTTTTAAGTCATTGTAATTTTCATTAATATTTTTGTATAAATATATTATGTTTATGAACGTTTGGCCTCCATGTATGTAAGTGTTCCCCTGTATGTATGTAACAGATTCCCCTAGAACTAGAGTTACAGATGGTTATGACCCACCACGTGGGGACTGGGAATCGAACCCCAGTTGCAAGAGCAGCAAGTACTGCAAACCATTGAGCCTTTCTCCAGCCCCCAGTTATCATTTACTATTCTAAAGAGACTTACAAACTTATAGCTATCTTAAGGTTGTATCTGTAGATTAGACTGCTCTTAGTTTATGGTCTCAGCTGTTTCCTAAATGCATGATTGGTTCAGTGTCTTGTCTTAAAGTTGCAGGTGTGCCGGTGTAAAACTTCATCCAACACTGTAACATTAGACCTAACTGTAATTACTAACTACTTTGGAATTTTATATTTTTTTTCCCATAGAGTGAAGGCTGGGAAAAGGAAGCAAAAGTAGAATTTTTGAAAATGGTAAATAACAAGGCTGTTTTCATGAAAGTTTTTGGAGAGGAAGATGATGTGCTTATTGTAGATCTGCAGAAACCACCAACAAATAAAATCAGCAGCGACATGCCTGTGTCTCTCAGAGATGCATTGGTTTTTATGGAACTAGCAAGGTAAGTAACTTGTTAAACTTAAATATTCTTCAAGATTGAAGTGATATGAACTTGAGAGATGGCTCAGCAGTTAAAAGCCTAAGCTGCTCTTATAGAACACATACAGTTTGGTTCCCAGCACCCACAAGGCAGCTCAGAATTATCTGTAACTCCCGTGCCTCCTCCTACTCTCCTTAAACATCAGACACACATGTGGTATGTACACATACCTGCAGGCAGAATACACAGAAACATAAAAGTAGATTATAGCTATAAATAGGAAAAGAAAGGTTTTAAGAATAAAGAAATCTGGCCTAGGCATATAACTCACTTGTTAGGGTGTCTGCCTAGCATGCACAAAGCCCAGGGTTCAATCCCTAGTACTGTATCCCTAGTACAGTGGCCATTCTGATAACGCTAGTACTTTACCTAGGATGTAAAGGCAGGAAGATCAGAAACACAGGGTCATCCTTAGCTACATAGCAAAATCAAAGCCAAGATTGACTACATGAGCCCCTGACTCAAATAGTGATGATGATTAAAAAAAAAAAAAAAAATCATGGGCTCATGCTGGCGAGATGGCTCAGTGTTTAAGACTGTGTGCTGTTTTTACAGAGGACCATGGTTCCGGCACTCACATGGTGACTCACAACCATCTGTAACTCCAGTTGCAGGGGATCTAATTCTTTCTTCTGGTCTCTGAGGGAACCAGGCATGCATGTGATGTACATACATGCTTACAGATTCATACACATAAAATAAATCTCAAAAATTTTATTGTGGCCTTTAAACTGAACTTTAGTGGTTTCAAAACATTGCTATCATGTTTTCTAAGTATAGTTACCTGTGAAAATTGCCTTAATATAGTTTAAGAAATTAAGGCAAAGCTGAGAAAATGGTTCAGTGGTTATGTAAAAGTGCTTGCCACACAAACTTCAGGGACTGAGTTTTAATCCCCAGACCCACATAAAAACTCCTCTGGACACACAGCACAGGCATCCAGTCTCAGTGCTCCTATGGAGATGGGAGGGAGACAGAGGCAGGAGAAGCCCTGGGAGCTCAAGGGCCAGCTAGCCTGACCTACACAGCAAGAGAATGGAGATCTTGTGTCAAACACGGTGGAAAACTAAGACCTATACCTGAGGTTGTTCTCTGACCTCCACATGTGTGCCATGAACACCCTCATTTTACACATATCTTACACACACACACACACAGTAAATAAAAATAGAAAATATGCATAGATACTAAATGTATTTTGAGTTTTGTTAACTTTATAAGAATCTATTAAGAGTTCCAAGAATTGTAATTTAGCTGTTCCTGCCTTAAATTATTTAGCCTTTGGGATGGGTTCATGATCACTAATTAATGTCTGAATCTAACATAGATACTTAGCATTTCCCTTTTTGTTTGTTTCACACAAACCAAAATTAAGTTGATGTAAGTAACTATGGAGACAGCAAAAGGTTCTAACTCTCTGCCCTGTGTGACTAGATAAGTCCAGAAATGACCCACATATGTTTCCTTTAGAAAAATAAAGGAGCATTGAGACTAGGAAAGGCCACAGAGATTTCACTGATCTCGCCTGGGCACCACAGTCCATGGCAATCATGAAATGCTTTTGACCAGTTCCAGCCCCAAAATGCATAAATCCGAGGCTTTATTATTGAACTTCTGTTCATCCAGGCTGAATAAGTGGAAACCATGCCAAGAAATTTAAGTTAGAAGAGGACATTGAAAATGGTAAATAAGTCAGTGTTTATACAGGCCAAAAACCTTTATAAGAACGGCTTTGCTTATGCTTTTAATTAGGTTTAGGTCACAATCACCAAGAAGTCACAGTGAAAAAAATACAACTTTATGCTACCATCCACCCATTTTGCCTGAAGAGACGACAGAAGTTTCAGTCATGGTTTGCCATATAAATAGCCCTACTGATTTTTACCTTCAGTTGGTAAGTATATGTTCTTTTAAGAATTTTGTTTTGTTTTTTCCAGAGCTGAGGACCAAACCCAAGGCCTTGGACTTGCTAGACAAGTGCTCTACCACTGAGCTAAATCCCCAACTCTTAGATTTTTAAATAGAAATGTTTAACAGGAGTGAATAAAAATTAGCCAAACAATTCTTGAGTACATTTAAATTTCTTCAGAGCTGCACTTTTAACAGGAAGTTTACAGGATTTATGGCAAATTCAAAATCTCTTTCTCCTACAAGTTAGTCAGTGGTAGGCAAGGACAGGAACTGTACTTACCTGTGAATGATTTTGCTATTTTGTAGACTCAAGAGATGAGAAAAACTGCTTCCAACCACAAATATCTATGAACTGTTAGTACCAACTTCATAGTAGATTAAAGACTTCAGATTAAGTTTGGGAAGTGTGATTGATCAATTAGTTTAGACATCAGATAAAATACCAGGTTCATCATTGACCTCTCATTGCTTTACATGAGTTACCTCATATAAAAACCTTATGTTGCTGGGTGGTAGTGGCACACACCTTTAAGCCCAGCATTTGGGAGGCAGAGGCAGGCGGATCTCTGTGAGTTTGAGGCCAGCCTGGTCTACAGAACTGGTGCCGGGACAGGCTCCAAAACTACACAGAGAAACTTTGTCTCAAAAAACAGGAGTGCCTATAATAAATTCAACATTTGAGTTTCTATTTTCTATGAAGCTACAGTGCCATATCCCTTTCTTTCTCAGATGGAGAACCTGGACTTTTTATCTCTTTTAAAGACAATTGAGGAATTCTATAAAGGAGAAGATGGAGAAAATCTAGAAATCCTTTGTCCTGTTCAAGATCAAGCATGTGTAGCAAAATTTGAAGATGGAATTTGGTACCGTGCAAAAGTCATCGGTAGGAAAGTGCATGTTGTTCCCACAGGGAAGTGTCGTGTGTAAGGGCTAGCATCTTCTGAGCTGTTAGAAAGTAAACCATGGAGGTGGTGTTACCTTCTCTTGCCTGTGCTCTGTCTTATGTCTTTAGAAGGCAGTGGTAATATTAAGAGATGAGTCTCTGGCTACTGGAATTTGATTTGCTTCATTAGGAATTAATCATCAGGAATCTGGGTAGAAAACCAGTAGATGACACAGAGCAGCAAAAAAACATTCTTGAAAGTTGGCTGTCTCTACCTACCTTTCTCTCTGTTTCTTGCTTTTTTGTTTGCTTATTTGTTAAGGTACAAATCTCTTAACTTCTTTCTGTATTGTCTTATTACTTAATTTTCCTAGGGAAATTGTTTTATTATTTAATTGTCCCTTCTTTCTGTGCATTTTTTACATTCTCCTTAAGTAATTGAATCTAGCTCACAAATAATAGAATTAGAGCCCAGCATGATAGCTCACACCTGTAATTCCAGCACTAAGAAAGCATAAAGAGGAGAATAACTTCAAAGTCATCCTCAGCTACAAAGCAAGTTCAATGCTAACCTGAACCACATGACTGTCTCTCATGCCTCAGAAACAACAGCAAGAACATTACAAAATGAAATGATAAAAAGTTAAAAGTAAAGCCAGGTGTTATGGTCCTGTCTGTAATCTTAGCTGCTGTGGAAGCTGGGGTAGAAGGACTGAAAGTCCATGGTCTAAGTGATTTATCTAAAATCATAACTCAGGAGGATGAAATAATAAAATGATCTGTGGACATAGCTAAACAATAGAGCATTGGCCTAGCATGTGTCATGCCTTTGCTTCAATTTCCAATAGCAAAAAATATATTAAATATAAAAAACAAGGATTGGATATTAAAGATTTCTGAAAATGAAGGTACTAGCAAGAAATAGCGAACAAGTATGTTTGTTACTCCCTACCTATGGCTATGAAAGAACAATTATGTATAAAGCTGTGGGTTTCAGAAGTTAGATAGACCATGGGCAGTTTAGTCCTGGACACTATGTGCTGGGTTTGGTTTGGTTTGGTTTGGTTTTACTTCACTTCAATAAAATACATGTCAAGACCTGGTCCTCAGTGCAGCAGTATTGGAAGGTAGAACCTAGCGGGAAATTTTTTGGGTCATGAGAGCAGAACTTTTCTTGGAAGAGTGAACTCTTGCTCTGGATTAATTTCCAAGACAGTGGGTGATTTCAAACAAGGCTGCCTCTCACTCCCTCTGTCGCATGCACCCACTGGCCCTCCCACTTTCCACCATGAGTTGAACATCCTTACCAAAAACCAAGCAGCCTGTAGCCATGTACTATGGTGTTGAACTTTTTCACCATCTCTCTGTACATTTTCTACATTCTCCTCAAGTCTACATAGCCTTTAATCCCAACATTTGGGGGCTGGATTCTCTTAGAACAGTGAGCCACACATGTGGTATAAACCAGTTTTTATGTGTAGGTCACACTGTCAGATACTCTGATAGCAAGAGAAAAGGAATAGGTCCTGTTTCATCAATAAAAATGATGTTTCTTTTTATTTAAAGGATTGAGTTTAGTTTGGTACTGTTCAAAATGTTTCCCCTATTAATCTAAGAACCTAACTAGCTACTACTAAAACAGAAAATTTTAAATCTTATATGAAAATCATTTAATCTTCCAAATTCAGTTTTTTCCTCAGTTATCATTGATTTTAATTCAGTCTGTGGTTAGTATCTTAAACCAACTAAAACTTTTTCAGATACAGTTCTTTTAAATGTCTTTGTGTTGCTATAACCAAATAGCACAGTCTGGGTTGCTTATAAACAGTAGAAACACTGGTCACACTTCTGGAGTCTGAGAAGTCTAAGTCTGCTTCTAAGAGTTAGCCTTGCTGCATCTTTCAGGCAGCACAAGTGCCATTTCCATAAATGGCAGAAGGATGAAAATGAGTGTTTTCTTCACTTAGCCATTTTACAAGGGCCCCTAGTCCCATAGACCTTATGACTCAGTCATTTCTTTTGTTACATTGGGAATTAAGCTTCAACATGAATTTCGGAGGAAGCAAAACTATTTAAACCATATGAATAAAGATACCAGTGCAACTTTTTTTAACAAATATATGTGGAATACATGTGAATTAAAAGAAATTTTTAAAGTCTTGGCAACTACTTTTAAAATTAGGATTACTAGCTTCAAATCATTTATTTGTTGAACAGTGGACTCTTTTAAGAAGTGATGTTAGAGACAGGTTCAGTCTTCATGGCAAATTTGAAGGTAGAATGAGTATCTATATATGACTGAGTGGTTTTGCCTTCCTGCATCTTCCAGCTTTACTGGATGACACACTGAAGGCTGTACATGCTAACAGGTTTGTTTGGTTTTCTTTGATTTCCTAGTGTCTTGTTACATTTGCAGTTTCATATCCACCTCAAGTACAGTTGTTTGTGATTCTTTCAATTGGGTGGGAAGTGATTTTGTTTTATCTGTCATTTCTTCCTAAAATCTTTAACGCTTCTCTCAAGGCTTCAGTTACAGACACTGTCTACTTATTTGTTACTGTGCAAGATGTTTTAGATCTCTGTATAGCTCTTTTGTCCTCACTTCTCCCATGCTTGTATCACTATTTTAGAGTTCCTATATATAGATACTTTCATTGCTAAGCTGTAAAATAAACTCTAATTCTAGGTTGATCATTATGACAGATTTTCACTTACATTATTTTCTTTTAATTTATACATTTTTCTAATACCTCAAAATTTTTTGTATGATTAAGCCTTTAGGATAATCTTAGTTTTGTTGTATCTTTAAACCATGGAAGCATTCTTCCGTTGTTTTCCCTCACTGATAGTGCTTAGTCTCTAAGACTGCTACACATTTGTTGTTCTGAGACTTCATGTCACCTGACAATACACTTCACTGTTCCTCTGTATGAGAGCCCCTGTTTTCTGTTTATCCCTTTAAACTACTCCTGTTCTGGTGCTGCCATCCTCCATTGCTTTACTCAGAAAAATGAAAGAATAAATAAGAAATAAATATGGGATTTCCCTGCCTACTGGCTCTGTTCTCATATGTGATTGATAATTTGGATAAAGAAAAAACACTGTTGGTTAAATTTCATGCCAGAACCTTATACAATTTAAAACTACATCTCAGTCAGAGTCTTGAAGAGTAAAAAAAAAAATCATGATGCTGGAAGAATTGAGACTTCTAACCTAGGGTGCATGTAGGAGCCTGGGAGATTTCTCCACCACCTCAGCCACCCTGATGTTTGCTATCATAGACTAACTTCTACAAGTGTCATTTTGAGTTCTGTGCTGTGCCACCTCTCCACATCTTCCAGTCAGTCAGTAATACTGGATTCCTTCCTCTGTTGTAGTGATATGTTGCTGCATTCATCTTTCTGCTTAAAAACGATAGCAGCAAGTTTCATAGCCCTGTATGTATGCTCAGGAAATCTAAAGCTTTGGCCATCCACTTGGATGATTTCATATGAGTCAGTTTATCCTTATTCAAGTTTCTGCATAGTCGAGCTTCCCAAAGTCTTCTTTATAGTACAGACCAGACCAACAGAGAGATCCTGTATGTTTGTGATTTCTAATTTCATAACTTTTAAAGGATTGCCTGGACATCGGGAAGTAGAAGTCAAATATGTGGACTTTGGTAATACTGCAAAAATAACACTTAAAGATATGCGGAAAATAAAGGATGAGTTTCTGGACCCCCCAGAGAAGGTAATTTACCTGTTTCAAACACTACAGCTAGAATATTAATCCAATATGAAATAGAAGGATTTTTGTACATAAAAATGCCATGTTAATGTCTATTTTTACCTATAAACAGTTTCTGAACTATAGATTAAGTGCTGCTTTATAGATAAAATACTCTTTAAGAAACACTTTATGGAGCTAGAAGGTAGAATACTTGCCTAGCGTGTACAAGACCCTGGGTTCAGTCCCAAACTCGCAGTAATAATAAGAGATATATGTTGCCGAATAAATATAAGCATTTAATATATTTCAGTCATAAGCACCTACTGGTGTGGAGCTATTCATTCATCCTGATGAGCTATCATGTAATGTGCTAAGAGTTTCAGTTTCTTGACACATTGAGTGATAAAGTTCATTTCAGAAATACTTTTGCCGTTGTTTAATTACTGTATTAGTAGTCAAAGATCTACAATAGAAAGAAATGTGGGCAAATATATAAAATACTTAACCATAATCTCTGAGGAGTAGGATAAGAAGGAGGCTTGCTTCTAATTTATATTCTCTTGTTATTGAATTTTTAAGATGTCTTTTAAAAAATATTTATGTCACTTTATTCACTTTTAAAATGTATTATTTTATTTTTCTTTTGTGTGTATGTGCACATACACAGATAGGCCATAGCATTCATGTAGTTAGAAGGACAACTTGTGGAAATTGGTTCTCTGCTTCCATTATCTTGGCTTCAGGGATGGGACTCAGGTTTTCTGACTTGGGAACATATACCCTTAACTGTGGAGCCATCTCACCAACACAGTCTGTCTTTGTTTTTTAATAGAAAGTATCATAAAAAGAATCTAGAAAATACAAATGAGCAAAAAGAAGTGAATTACTCAAGAATATTCAGTGAGGCTGGGGAGATGGCTCAGTTGTTTAGAGCACTGGCTGCTCTTCCAAGAACCCTGGTTTGATTGCTAGCATCCACATGGCAGCTCACAGTCATCTGTAACTCCAGTCTCGGGGCTTCTGATTCCCCGTATGGTCTCTGTGGGCACGAGGAATGCATGTGATGCACAAACATGCAGGAAAAACACATACATTGCATAAATAAATATTTTACAATATATTCAACTTTTTAACCAGGCATACCTGGTTAAAAAGTTGAATATACCTATAATCAATATTAAAAAGTTGAACATACCTATAATCTCAGCATCCAAGAAGAGGTAGACAGATCTCTGTGAGCTCAAGACCAGCCTGGTCTATATACCAAGTTCTGTATGAGCCAGAGTTACATGGCTGTATCAAAAAAGCAAATCAAAAATACTTAGTGTTTTTAATATATGTTCTTGCGGGATACATCTTTCACAATGTTTTTTTTTTTTTTTTGAGACAGTTTTACTGTCTTACTGTAGAGCTCTGGCTGACCTGTCACTAGCCATGTAAACCAGGATGGCCTCAACTCACAAGTGATTCACCTGCCTCTGCCTCCCAGGTTTCGGAATTAAAGGTGTGAGCTACCATGCCCATCCACCTTTCACATTTTTATCAGTTCTAGAATGAATATAAATTGTCCTGTATGTGTGCATTTCTCTTTGCAATATATCATAAATGTTTTACTTTTAAATGAATGCTTATCAATCTTGTATATATGAATTGTAATAATTTCATTCAACCAAGTAGTTAATTCCAGTTATTTTAATTTATAAAGTTATGGGTACTTCACATATTCCATGAATTTTAAATAGTTTGAATTAGAGGGTTTTTTTTTTCGGGTTTTACTTGATTTGGTTTAGGGATTTATTTATTTATGTATCTATTTGGAGTTCTGCAGTTAGAATCTAGGACCTCAAGCATGCTTTTTTAGTGTTGTGCCAACCAAGCTATGGAAATATTAGTTTTCTATCTTTATGTAAAACTTTGAAATAACTAGGAATTAAGATATATATATACATATATGTTTATATGTATATATTTTTTCCCTCAAGACAGGCTTTTGAGCCTGTCCTGGAACTCACTCTGTAGACCAGGCTGGCCTCAAACTGGCAGAGATCCGCCTATCATGAGATGGTTCAGCTGTTGAAGGCTAGGCTCACTACCAAAAATATAAGTTCATATTCTTAATAGTGGAATTTCATTTGATACAGGCAATTAAATGTAAGCTGGCATATATTGAACCAAGTAAAAGAACACAGTGGTCCAAAAAGGCTAAAGAAAAATTTGAAGAAAAGACTCAAGACAAATTTGTGACATGTTCTGTTATTAGTAAGCTATTTCTATCTTTGTCTATTATTATTATTATTTAAATAAGATTAACATTATATAATAATGGTCATATTTTAGAATAAATTCAGTGTGCCGAGATAATAGTAATAATGAGAAATAACATTCGTTTAGAATTAGGACTGGGGGATTCTAATCTCTGTTAAACCTTGCAGTCAAAGCACATCAGGAAAAAAAAATTCATACCTTTGAAAACTAAAGTCATCCTTATGATAGATAATGGTTTGCACCTTATAGTCTCTGCTGCTTGAATCACTGGGGCCAGAGACTTGAGGCCAGTGTCAGCAACATAACCAGTTCCCTTTTAAAACAATGAAATCATCAACCCACCTTTACTGTGGCCTTTTGCAAACATAAAGCCAAAAATTAGCTTATTTATCTGCATTTACTGGGTCTAAAGTTTAATCTTATGCAAGTGAAGAGAGGCAGAACCTGGTGAGTACATAGCTTTTGTTTGTTTCCTTGGTTACTTGGGTTTTTTTTTCCTTTAATTTGTCCCATTCAGTTGTAGGTTCTCTCCATATTTTGAAAAACGTTATTCCAAAAAGGAAGGAAGGAAGGAAGGAAGGAAGGAAGGAAGGAAGGAAGGAAGGAAGGAAGGAAGGAAGGAAGGAAGAAAGAAAGAAAGAAAGAAAGACGTTATTCCAGTTTTACATATTTTCAGGTCTACAGCCCTAGATGACCACTAGCCCAGTTTTCTAACAAAAGTTCTGAAAATCAAAAGTTGGATGACTGAGTCTGTTTGAGTTGTTATGATGTGTGTGCTTTTATCTGAATTGGAGAGCCTTTGTCTCCTTTTCAGTAAATACACATTCTGCCTCAAGACAGAAACGGGTGTAGTCTGCTTGCCCCACACTCCATTTTGAGTATTCATTGTGTATAGTGTGTGTGCATTCTTTAGATTGAAGAATTCTGAATCTCCAAACATATCTGGTCCTAAAGATTGTCAATAAGGAGATGTGAATCTTAGATAAAAAAAAATACACACATGCATATACATACATATGTTTGTATGCAATTTTTATCTTTTCCAAATAACAAAACCTAACAGTGTTGGGTTTGGTGAACCCTAGTATATGAAATACATAGGCCATGTTTATTTAAAGATCTGTAGTGGCTTTTCAGCTCTGTCACAGTCATGAATGAATCCAACTACCATAAGATAAACTTCTGAAGGATTAATAGCTTAAAAGTGATGCAGTGTCTATGATAATTTTGTTGATAAAAGAAAGTATTTAGAAGAAATGGTTCAGTTGAAGAGAAATATGATTATAGAAATTGCAACCTTGATGTATAGAATTTTTACATCTGGCTTCTCTGAGATGAACAACAAAGTCCTCCTGGTCCTTGAGCAAATTCTTCTGAGTTTGGAACAACTTTAACTTGGATAGCTGCTGCTTAACATTTGGATATAAAACCTTTGAATATATATTAATTTTTATAAATCCAAAAACCTTAAACTGCTTTTGGTTCATTATAGAACAAATAGCACATGATAGCCTACTGTAAAATTTGTAGTACTCTCTGCATGCTGTGCACTAGGTAAATCACTGTGGCTTCCGAATACTGCTCTAACTCCTAGGAAAACTAACATTATTCAGCCAGAAATCTCATATATGCAGAGGTCAGAAGTGGCTTCCAGTTTTTAGAAGACAAGTTTACTAATTTAGTGCACTTCGTAGCACATGTCTTTCTTTCCCAAACTAGTCTTAATGATTTTACAGAGATTCTGGAAAATAATGTGCTCTTGGTTGAGCTTTTTGATTCTCGGGTTCCTGGAGCAACTGCTGTTAGTATTAATGACCAGCTTGTCAAAGAAGGCCTAGCGACTTATGAAGCAGGGTAAGTGTTGGTACAGTCTGTTCCTGCATGAGAGCAGAGATGGTCGGGGAGACGGTTGGAGTCATTATTCTGAGGAGGAGTAAAGCAGCCTTCTCTTCACTTGTAGCTGGAGTGCAAATCCAGAGAAGGGCTTCTTGAGATAAAGACTGCTTCTAAGATAAAGAGGCTAACATATTATTTCCAGGTGAAATCTGCTTAAGCAGAGTCTTGGTCCTATTTAAGAAAATGAGAATGAGAAACAGCACTAAGGACAGTGGTAGAGTCTGCATTCCCAGTTTAAGAAATTCTTATTTTCCTGGGTTTGAAGGATTACGTTAGTCAGGCCTAAGCTTTATGTCCAAAGCAAGAAGCAGCCAGTGGTTGAGGTGATTTCAGGTGATCTCACAAGGGCAGAGTGGTGGTGGGTAGTTTTAAGGTCAACTGAAAGAATTCTTCCACAAAGGAGGCATGCAAAGAGGGCAGTCCTACAGGGTCTTTTCAGAACCACCTAGATGTAACCTTCAAGAAAGCCAACATTTGAACGCCTATTAGTATAAGCCAGAGAGACAGTAACTTCCAACCAAGGCCTGCAATGACTCCTGCTAACAAGAATGACCTATTATCATGTTCCCCCTTTCACTGTTAAGTCTCATGTGGAATACAAAGAAATGAAAGCAAACATTTAAAACTATTTTGAAATTTTTCTTTTAAATGCTAGGGTTTTGGGGAGGCTGTCCATATTTGTGGAATATGCGTGTATGCATGCATGCACTTGTGTATATGTATGGTGTACACACATGGAGGCCAGAGATAAAACACAGCTGTCATTCCTCTGGAGCCAAGCAAATTTTTTATGGGACATTATTTTTCAGTGCTACCTGGGGCACACATACTATGGTAGGCTGGCTGGCTGGCCAGTGAGACATGGAGATCCTCTTGTCTTTGTTTCCTCAGTACTGGGATTACAAGCATGTACCACCATGCCTGTTTTTTATTATTATTATCATTATGGGTGCTGGGAATCAAACTGAGGTCCTTAAGCTTGTATGGCAAACATTTTATCAACTGAGCTATATCTTCAGCCCCCAAAGCCAGGATTTCTTTAAGATGCATAGATAGCTAAGTGAATTTTAACAAATAGTTATATATCCATCAAGTTCTGCCCTGACCTCCATGCGTGTACTATGGCGTGTGCATGCCTACACTCATATACCACATACACACAAATGTAAAACATAAAATTACAATAACTATAGTGACTATAGATTTAAAAAAAGTCTAGGCATAAAAGGAAATTACTATACACTGTGAAAAAAAACCCTTTCTCTTAAGATCAGAAATAAAAACTACGGCAGTTTCAGCCTTTCTATTCAGCAGAGTACTGGACTCATAGCAGACCACTTAAACACGAATTTCCATCTTAGAGAAGCAATTTTAAAATAGTTCTTGTTCATAGATAATTTGATCTAACATGTAAAAAACATTTTAAAAGGCTGCAAACTTACAATTAATAAATAAATTTAACAAAATCAGCAAGCTACAAAGTCAGCATGTTATGTTTTCAGAGGGCATGATTCTCAACCATGGATGCAGTAATTGAGATGAGTGCTTTAGCACAAACAATGTCTTAATCCAGTGATGGACTCATAATTTAATGTTGTTATTGGGAAAGGATGTAAACTTTTGGAGGTTGGACTAGTTGAAGGATGAAGTCACTGAGGGTGTAGCTATGAAGGCGTCTCCTGTCCCACTCTTTCCTAGCTACCTTGAGGTAAGCAGCCTCTGCCACAAATTCCCTCATCCATGGTATTCTGTCTCATCTCAGGCCCACATAGTGGGTCCCACCAACCTTTGATCAAAACTTCTAGAAACAAATCTTTCTTCCTTGTTAGCTTCTACTGGCTGTCTACCATGTGACAGAAAACCTATCAACAAAATCAGTTCATTTTACATGATAATGGAAATTTTACAAAGAAATGAAGAGTGCAGTTTTGTTACAGTAGTATCAAGAAAAACATGTTTTAAGAATTAACCAATATGCTGGTCAGTGGTGTTGCATACCTTTAATCCCAGCTCTTGGGAAGCAGAGACCAGCAGATCTCTGAGTTTGAGGCCACCCTGATCTACAGTGAGTTCCTAGGCAGCCAAGGCTACACAGAGAAAACCTGTTTCAAAAGACGAGAGAGAGAGAGACAGAGACAGAGACAGAGACAGAGAAAAATAAAAGAATTAAGCAGCATGGGGCTGGTAAGATGGCTTAGCAACTAAGAACACTGGCACCTCTTCCAGAGGTCCCAGGCTAAATTCTCAGCACCCACATGGTGTTCACAATCATCTGTAACTCCAGTTCCAAGAGATCCATCACCCTTTTTTGACTTTTGTAGACACTGTATTCACATGGTGCACAGATATACTGGCAGACAAAACATCCAAAGCATAAAATAATTAACCAAAGTGGGTGGTAAACATATACAGAGAAATCAGAAGTTTTCTGAAAGATATTAAAGAAAATGTAAGTGGAAATTGATCCCATGTTTATGGATTAGAGCATTTGATGCCATCAGTACCACCCTAAATGAGCAAGAGATTAATGATCTCTATCCAAATTCTAACAACTTTTTGCAGAAATAGGAAAGTCTATGCTAAAATTCATATGGAAATTCAAAATAATAAGTAGCCAGGGCATTCCTGAAGAACCTAAAGGACATGTACATCCTAATTTCAAATCTTACTACAAAGCTAAAATAATCAAAACAGTATGGTATCAGCAAGTACATGAAGGAAATAAATTCATAACTCTGGTACTCAGAAGAGATGTGGTGGGTGATTTAAATGTCAGCAACATATAAATGATAAACAAGGAAAATGAAGTTATCTCATTAGTCCCTCAGTAAAGATAACCCTGTGGGTTATCATGTTTAGGAAAGGGACAAGAATGTGAGCCTGAGGCAGGTAAGCTAGAAGTAGATAATACTTGAAAGAGTAGCTGTATTAAATTCAGGTGGGAACTGAAAACTATCCATTAGGCAAGAACAAAACAAACAAAAGAACAGCACAGCAACAAGAAAAAAGGATCTTTGAACCAGATCTCAGCTTAATGGGAAAGAAGTTTTTTTTTCTTCATCTAGTTGTCTGTGGTTAAAATATCTATGGGGGTGGGGGGAGAAATGGGAGGCGGAGGCAGGGAGGAGGCAGAAATTTTTTATTAAAAAAATAAATATTAGGAAAAAAATATCTATGGGGGTTTTATTGATATTGTTTGTTTGTTTTTCCAAGACAGGGTTTCTCAGTATAACAGCCCTGGCTGTCCTGGAACTCACTCTGTAGACCAGGTTGGCCTTGAAGTTACAGAGATCTGCCTCCCAAATGCTGAGATTAAAGGCAAAATATATTCTGTTAAATGTAAAATACTTGAGTTGTTTCACTGAATGCATTCTAATGGTAATTACACTTCTGTTTACAAACTGATACTTTTTACTGACCGATACTCTCTAGCCAAAGGTTGTGAAACTCAGAGTTGTTTTCTTTGTGAGTTGAAGTTGTGAGTAAGGTTGGTAAATTAATCTATTGTTAAAGTTAAAAAGTTTGGGTTTAGAGCTGGGCTGTGGTGGCGCACACCTTTAATCCCAGCACACGGGAGGCAGAGGCAGGTAGATCTCTGAGTTCGAGGCCAGCCTGGTCTACAAGAGCTAGTTCCAGGACAGGCTCCAAAGCTACAGAGAAACTCTGTCATGAAAAAACTAAAAAAAAAAAAAAAAAAAACAATTTGGGTTTAGATTTGTGTTTGTATGTGCCTGCTTTGCTTTGGTGTTGGTGAAGCACTCTTTTTAAAGAAAAGTTAACTTTAGTAATTGCTATTGATACCAAAGTTTGGAAACAAAATTATAGATAAAACATGTTCTTCTCTTAAAATAAGCAAATATTAGTATCTTACTGACTATTCTTTTTGCCAACTTCTGTTATTTTTTAGATATACCCTCAAAGATAATTCTAAAAAGCATCTTGAAGTATGGGATCCTTCTCCTGAAGAAATCATTTCAAGTGAAATAAACAGCTTAAGTCCTCTCTCTGTAAAATCTCTACCTAATGAGAATTTCCAGGCCTTATATAACAAGGAGCTGCCTGTGAATATATGTAATGTAATATCTCCTGAGAAGATTTATGTTCAGTGGTTATTAACAGAAAACTCACTTAATAGGTATAACATACAATTGTTAATAGGTATAACATACAATTATTAATAGGTATAATAGACAATGAAAGTGAGTGCCTGTGGTTTCATTCTTCTTATACTTTGATTCAAATATCTAGATGCCATAGTGTTTAGTTTTTGAAAGTCATGAAATTATTTCAACTAAATTGACTCTAAATTCTTTTTTTAAAAAATCATAACATCTCGTTTTTGGCTATTGTCATGCTAGAATTTATGCCATGAGTACTTATTAAGTACCTTACTCCATGACAGCCTGTATTGGTGTTGAGGATTCTTTGTTGGCATAGGGCTTAAACTATAGTCAAGAGAGATGATGAACAAATAAAACTTTGTGTATGGATGATAAAAGAGTAATAAACAGAAGTAAGACCTTTGAGAAGGTTTTAAGATGTTTGAGGGTCTTTTCAAATGTGCCCTAAGCTAAGCACTAAGGAAGCAGAGGCAGGCAGGCCTCTGTGAGTTCAAGGTCAGCCTGGAAAACACAGTGAGTTCCAGGTCAACCATAGCTACATAGTGTGACCCTCTCTCTGTACAAAATGGTGTATACCTGTGGGGAGCTCACATTCTAAACTGCTGTCTGTGTCTGGAGAGAGACCGGAGAGCGGCCCAGGGTTGTATATGAGGAACCTTAATCTCAAGCAGAGCGAAGAACGAGTTCAAAGACAGAGATGCTTTATACAGTCAAAGTTGTATCCAGATTGACCAGAGGGGAATGACTAAAGGATTTTGGAAGAAAATATCTTGTCAGACAGACCGATAAGAGATTATTTGAAATTAAAACATTTTGTATCCTACAGTTTGGAAGAGAAGATGACAGCCGCCTATGAGAACTCAGAATGGAAACCTGTTAAGTGGGAACGGGACATGCACTGTGCTGTTAAGGTCCCAGCCAAAAGTCAGTGGAGAAGAGGCCAGATTATCAGAATGGTCACGGACACATTGGTGGAGGTAAGTGTCATCGTGAAAATGCATTTTCACTTGTTCAGTGTTTACTTACTTCAGTTCCTTTTATACTTTACAACTCGAAAAAAGTTCTTGAAATGTTGCCTTTCCCTAAATTTAAGCTTACTGTTCTCACAGGTCTTGCTGTATGATGTGGGTGTTGAACTAGTAGTGAGTATTCACTGTCTAAGAGAACTTCAAGACAGCCTAAAGACCATGGGAAGATTGTCTCTAGAATGCTCACTTGTTGATATAAGGTAGTTTTTAACTAAGTAAATTAAGTTTCTCGTTATTATATATTATCATTTTAAATATTTTAGCATGGTTTGTCAGTTTTAATTAATACATTCTGAAACTTTCAATCTCATTAAGGGTTTTTTGAGAGGGATGTTGAGATAAGTTTCTTCTGTGTCAGCGGTTCTTAACCTGTGGGTTGTGACCCCCCACACACAGGTGTCACATATTAGATATCCTGTATATCAGATATTTGTAGTATGATTCATAACAGTAGCAAAGTTACAGTTATGAAAACAACATGAGGAAAGAACTGTATTAAAGGGTCACAGCATTAGGAAGGTTGAAAACCACTGCTCTGTGTAGTCCTGGAACTTGCTCTGTAGACCAGAGATTCACTTGCCTCTGCCTCCTGAGTGCTAGAATTAAAGGTATGCACCACCATGCCCAGATTCATTAAGGGTTCTAGGAAGAGGGAATAATACATGTTTTGGCCTATAAATGTAATAACATTAAAGAAATAGAAGGAAGCTAAGTAGAATTTAAACTGTTGAGAATAAAAAAGCTTTGAGGAAAACTAAAGGCGGATGGAAATATAATATGCTTCATAAGCTTCCAGTTATACAGGAAGACAGAAGTGTAAATTAGTAACAGTAGTAGGTGGTATAAAAGACCAACAGAAAATAGAATCAGAAAACTGAAAAATCAACTCCAATGTGATGTCCATACCTGCAAGTCTAGCACTCAGGAGCCTGAAGCAGGAGAATCATAAATTCAAAAACCAGCCCAAGCTACATAGTGAGACCTGTGTTCAAAAAAAAGGAGGAGAGAAGGCAGAGTTAGTTCAGAACAAGATGATTGACAAAAAAAAAAAAAGCAGTTTGAAAAGAGATGGCAATTCGCCACCCAAGAAAACTTAAAAGTAAATAACAGAAAAGTAGGGCTAAACTAGGAAAAGTACAAAAGCATCCTGACTGTGGAGATGGCTCGGTGTGCGGAGGCACTCGGCCACTATGCCGAATGAGGTCAGTCTCCAGGACCCACATGCAGAGGAGAACCAAAGCCCCAAGTTGTCCTCTGACCTCCACATTTGTATTAGGGCATTTGTGGATGTGCATACACATATAGAGAGGATAGCTTTAAAAAGAAATAAAAATAATTTTAATTTTGAAAAAATCCACAGGGTTCAAAAGAAGAAAGATCTCTTATCACCCAAGAAGAGTCAACATAAGTTTTATAAACATCTCAAGGAAAAAAACTGGTAACAGTACAAGAAAAAAACATTAATTCATGAAAGACTTCAGAACTATATATCGAGAAAGTACATGATTTATCAAAGAAAATCAATTCAGAATAGTGAACTCTCAGAGATAGTTGATTTACAAAAGAAAAGCCTAATGTCATCACTAGTGCTTTATAATAAAAATAATTAAGTAACATATTTAAATACTTAAAGAAGAGGGAAGGTATAGGTTTTCTATCCAGACAAACTTCAGTGTAGCTGTAGAACAGACACACACACACACACAATGTATAATATATATAATACAGAGATACATATATTCATTAGCTCACATAGAAACAGGATAAAGGCAATGAAAGTAGGAAAGAAAATGATATAAATAGCATAAATTCATGTTCACATTTGTTTCTCACCATATGAGGATTCAAACCATGCATTTTTTATATTATTTCTAAGTATATCAGTACTCTGTGATACGCACTGTAATACAGATAGTTATTCCTTTTGCTTCAGACCAACTGGTGGAAGTGACAGGTGGACAGCAACAGCCTGTGACTGTCTCTCACTGTACCTTACTGGAGCTATAGCAACCATAATCTTGCAGGTAGGTACAATGTCCTGGCTAGTTTTATGTCAACCTGACCAAGCTAGAGTCATCTGAAAGGAGGGAACTTCAATGGAAAGGAGCATTCTCTTAATTAGTGATTGATGGGGATGGCCCAACCCTAGTGGGTGGTTCTTCCCCTGGGCTGGTGGTCCTGGGTTCTATAAGAAAGCAGCCTGAGCAAGCCTCGAGAAACAAAACAGTAAGCAGTGCTCTTGCATAGCCTCTGCATCAGCTCCTGCCTCCAGGTTCCTTCCCAGTTTTAGTTCTTGTCCTGACTTCCTTGACACAAGATAAACAATTATAACAGATATTTGCTTATTATTTCATTGAAGTTGTCATCTATTCTAAGTTTATTTTCTTGTTCAGAAAATAACAGCAAAATATTTGGAAGTTTTTTTCCAAACTATGTTGATCTTATGTTAAAGTAGTATACTTGTGCATAATAACTTGTGGTATGGTGGCATATAATAATAATCCCAGAACTCAGGAGGTAGGAGGAGTATCAAAAGTTAAATCCCTAGCAGGCACGTTGATGCACTACTCTAATTCCAGCACTCTGGAGGCAGAGAAATCTCTGTGAGCTGGAGGACAGCCTGGTCTCTACAGCAAGTTCTAGGCCAGCCAGGTGCTACATAGTAAGACTTTGTCTTAGAAAATAATTAATTAATTAATTATATAGATGTGTGTATGTGTGTGTTTATTTATTAAGATACACACACACTCTGGGTAGTGGTGGTGCACACATTTAATCCCAGCACTCTGGAGGCAAAGGCAGGCAGATCTCTGTGAGTTCGAGGCCAGCCTGGTCTACAGAGCTTAGTTTCAGGACAACTAGGGCTGTTACACAGAGAAACTTTGTCTTTAAAAAAAAAAAAAAAAAAAAAAAAAAAAAAACCAAAAAGGTATATACAGGCATATCAGAGCACAAGCCATGGCTCCTATGTAGAGGTCAGAGTACAATTTATAGTAGTTGGTTCACCTTTTACCTTGTGGGTCCTGGGATATTGAACTTAGGTCATTGGATTTATCAGTAAGCAGCTTTACGTGCTCTGCCTTCTTGCCCAGCAGAAAAGCTAAAATAAGTAAACAAGTTAAATAGATAGTCCCACAAGTGTTCGTGTGACTGAATTGAAGTATTTCTAAAGTCACGTGCTTGAGTTGAAATTGTGTATGTTAGAAAATAACATATAAAGTAACTATTGGACTAGATGACTCAGAAGTCTGGCTTCTTTTCTAGAGGTCTTGAGTTCAATTCCCAGTAACCACAGGGTGGCTCACAACCATCTATAATGAGATCTGCTGCCCTCTTTTGGCAGGCCTTTCATTCCAGCACTTTGAGGGCAGAGGCGGGTAACACCCTGTCTTGAAAAACCAAACAAACAAATAAATAAGTGAATAAACAAACTAGCTAATCTTTAAATAAAATAAAACATCTTTCTAAAGTCTTTAGACAATTAAGCTCAGGCTCAGACTGGAGAGATGGCTCAGTGGTTAAGGCTAGTCTTTCAGAGTTTGACTGGGGTTCAATCCCCAGCACCCTCATGATAGCTAACAACTGTTTGTAACTGTAGTTCCAGGGGATCTACCCTCACACAGACAAAACTCCCATGCGTATGAAATAAAAAGCTGTATTTTTAAGAGAATTAAGCTCATAAGTCAGAAAGACCTGACACAATGTGCATATTTGTGGGTGTGGCTTGAAGAAGCATGTCTTTATAAGAAAGGGTCTATTTCCTCTGTTCTGTTCTACCTCATTGAAGTTTCTTATGTAACTCATTTTCCATGTTACCTTTTTTATGTATACTTTCTTCACTTTTATACCTTTTTGGGGTTTTTTTTGTTTGTTTGTTTTTGTTTTTCGAGACAGGATTTCTCTGTAGCTTTGGAGCCTGTCCTGGAATTAGCTCTTGTAGACCAGGCTGGTCTCGAACTCACAGAGATCCGCGGAGGCAGGATTAAAGGTGTGTGCTACCACCACCCAGCTACTTTTATATCTTTTCATATGAAGTAGAGCATGTTTTGTAGTATCTTCCTTTGTGTTTTGTAGGAAAGTAAAGCACACAGTGGATATTTCCCAGAACTGAAGGGAATAGAGAAGCATGCTAGCTGGTGATACTTCCTCTCACCTCAATTAGGGAGGGTGAAATTTTTTTCCAGTTCACTTGATTGGGGTTTTTGGTGGTGAGAGGTTTGTTTGTTTGTTTTGACCATAGTAGTGAGGTCTTCCTAATTCATTCCTAAAACACGTACCTGAAAAGAGATACAACATAAATATTAAAATGTTTCTATCAGTACTGACTCTCTTCCATGCTGTTTCCCTTATATATTTAGATGTCAAAATGATGTTAGCTGGGATTGATTCTTTCATAGAAAATGTAGAAGAAATTCTTTTGAAAAATACTGCCTGTGAGATTTCACTTTTTGTCTGATAAATCTTTTCAGGAAAACAGCACAACATGGCCATTACCTGTGAAAATTTTCTGCCGAGATGAAAAAGGAGAACGTGTTGATGTTTCTAAATATTTGATTAAAAAAGGTTTGGCTTTGAAAGAAAGAAGGTACAGACTTTTGAATAATTTTTTGACATCAATTTCTGATGATGCTTCATAACTGCCTATGTAATCTGTGGGTATTTTCAAACCTTTGCTCTTAAAGATGATTTATAATCTAATTCCTAATGAGCCATCCCAGAAATAAATTGTTTATTTCTTTATTCACATGAGTAAAACTCTTGCATACCAAAAACCACCTTATTATGTACTGGCTTTCAAAGATACATGTGGGCTTCTAGAAAGCTTTGTCACTGGAGTCTTGGGGAGCTAGTTTTATGAGCATGTTAACACAAGGAGGATTACTTGTATGATAAGCTGGGGAAATACAGAGAATCTGAATAAGAGGAGACCCCCAAGCTGGGCGATGGTGGCACACGCCTTTAATCCCAGCACTCGGGAGGCAGAGGCAGGCGGATCTCTGTGAGTTCGAGACCAGCCTAGTCTACAGAGCTAGTGCCAGGACAGGCTCCAAAGCCGCAGAGAAACCCTGTCTCGAAAAACCAAAAAAAATAAAAAAGGAGACCCCCAGAATAGGACATATTCCCCCCCTTTTTTAAAGATTTATTTATTTTATATGTACAGTATTCTGTCTGCATGTATATGCCTGCAGGCCAGAAGAGGACACCAGATCTCATTATGAATGATTGTGAGCCACCATGTGGTTGCTGGGAATTGAACTCAGGACCTCTGGAAGAACAACCGGTGTTCTTAACCACTGAGCCTGCATATTCCCCTTTTTGTCCTTATGCATGGTTTTCCACATGTGCCATGGTGGTGGAAACCCACAATTTTGGAAGCGAATGGTTTGGAGCAAAGAGTATCCGTTTTCTCCAACAGCCATACAGGTTCCAGCTTTGGTTAGGCTGAAAGCTATCACGAACAGCATGGCAGGAGGACCTGAAGAGGGAGGAAGAGAGAAGGGACAGAGAGAGTGAGAGCATGGAGGCCTCCTTGGGCTGGAGTGATGGTTTAGTAGTTAAGAGTACAGGCTGCTCTTGAAAATGACCTGGGTTCAGTTCCCAGCACCCACACGGTGACTCACAACCATCTGTAACTCCAATTCTGAAAGATCAGAAGCCCTCTTCTGGTCTCTGAAGGCACAGATGTACATGAAGTCAAAAGACCCATACACAAAATCAGTACTTTTAAAACAATATCATAAATCATAGTAACATTAACAAATTAATTTACTAACCTGCTAAAAAAGAGTTATTTACAAATTGCATTTGTAGCAGGAGCTGGATGGAAGTTGTTGAACAACTTTGAACAATAAATTATGTAGTTACCAAAAAAGGCAGAAGCATTTTATGTGTTAATCCTGGTGTTTGTTATTTTTTGAATTTTCAAAACAACTTTTGTGAATAAGATCATTATATTTAAATGAAAACTCATGAGATTGACTTTTGGCACCAAAAAATATATTTTACAAAAAGAAATATTTCAAGTACACTTGTAAGAGAGGGATGTTTAGTGTGAAACCTGCATATACGTATATATACTCATGCATTTGTATCTATATAGATTTACATATCTTAAAATCAGATGAGTTGATAAGTAACTTACAGGCCTTATTATCTGAATTAATCACTTTTTTCAACATAAAATAATAGGACACAAATTACATAAAGTGAATTATGTAAAACCCGTGGGAAAACATGTCAGCTGGCCAGCACATGACAACACTGAAAGAGCCCTTTCTTATAAAGGGTTAAAGACGTGTCTAGGGGAGTTTTTCTGAAAGTACCTGCGGCTTGACTGAGAGTTTCAGTACAGGCAGGGGATGAGAAAAGAGGGCGGGGTTGGAGCTTTGTGTAGCTTCTGGAGAGGAAGGAAAAGGTATGACTGGAGGCGACTCGATGGGCTAGAGAAAATATAGAAGTCATATCCTCTTGAGCAGCAGCAGTGGGTTTTTAAAAAGCCAGCTGAGGCCCTGAATATTCAGTTCACAGCTTGGATTTTACCTGCAAAGGAGATACCAGCAGATATATAGATGCAAATAAAATAGATACAGGAATAGGTAGGTAGAGATACAGGTACACATAGATACAAATGGATATAGATAAAGATAAAGATATAGATATAGATATAGATATAGATATAGATATAGATATAGATATAGATATAGATATAGATATAGATATAGATACATACAGATATAGATCTTTTTTGAGAACTTAAAAGTAACTTTTTTTAGTTTTTAGAATTGCCTGTTTATCTATCAGGGCGGCAGGGAGGAGACCAAAAGATGAACAGAGAGGTTCAAGTAGGTTAGACAAGAGAATCTTAGCCCAATGTTAGGGGTTTAAGGAGAGCTCAGCAGTCGTAAGACAGGGTGACGTTCACCAAAGTGGTGATTGAGGGTGCAGATAGCCTGAAGATAGAGCTTTGGATAAAAGGGAAGAAGAGATAGGCATCCCTGGATGGCAGAGGGGGAGAAGACACAAGCACCAGCACAGACAGCTCTCCAGAGCACTTCTTACTTTAAAACCTCCCAGAGTGGGTGTCTGCCTTAGGGTCTCTATTGCTGTGATGAACAGATGAAACATCATGACCAAAAAGCAAATTGGGAGGAAAGGGTTTGTTCAGCTGACACTGCCACATCTCAGTTCATCATTAAAGGAAGTCAGGACAGGAACTCAAACAGGGCGCCATCCCGATGCAGAGGTCATGGAGGAGTACTGCTTACTGGCCTGCTCTCCATGGCTTACTCAGCCTTTTTTATAAAATCCAAGACCTCCTGCCCGGGGATAGCACCACCCATAATGGGCTAGACCCTCCCCCTTCAATCACTAATTAAGAAAATGCCCTATAGGCTTGCTTACAGCCCTCTCTTATGGGAGGCACTTTCTTGGTTGAGGTTCCTTCCTCTCAGGTGACTTTAGCTTGTGTCAAGTTGACATAAAGCTATCCAGCACAATGTCAAAGAAGCAGATAGCTTATAGTTTCCAGTTCCTTGTAGAGAAGTAGATAGCAGAGCTGGCGGAGAGTGACCTACCAGGTGTGTGATGCCGTCTACAGTTCCCACGCCGCTTTCCTCTTTTCTTTCCTCCTGTGACTATCTAGTACACCTCATGAAAGACTAGTTCATCCTGGACTAGAGGAAAGGTTTTAGTTAAATTTTTTTTCATTATTTCTTTAGAATTTTATCTTTGCTTCCATTTAGATATGTTTTTGTTGTTGTTGTTCTTGTTGTTTGATGTTACAGAACTAGTAAATCAAATAAGAGCCATTCATCTGAGACATCTTTGGAAATCCCTCCGGAACAAGGAGAGTCAATAGTTACTAAGTGCTTTAAAACTAACTTTGATACTAACAAGAAAATTGCTGATAAAATCAATGAACACAAAGTACCTGATTCAAAGGAGAAAAAATCAGAAACCAGAACAACCGGATGCTATAAACCACCAGCTATTCCTAACACAAATGCATTTGAGGCAGTAGTGAGCTGCATTGGTGATGATGGAACTATATTTGTAGTGCCTAAATTATCAGGTAAGGAAGGTCTCTTCAGTAACTCTGGACCTAGCATGATAGAAAAAAACTGAAAGTCTTTGGGAATATTTACCCTCTCTGAACCTCATTTTCAAGGGCTTATGAGGAGAATTAGGTTATTTCATCCAGTTCATGCAGAGTTCTTCTAAAAATTCCTAGCTAAGCTATTTGAGGGTTTTTTTTCCTTAAATTACTTTAAATAATAAATTATTTCAACATAATTCCCAGTTCTCTCCAGCCAGAGGACTGTCTGTGTCCCAGTGCTTGTCTACTAATGTAATTTCTCCATAGTTGGAGAAGTACAAGGCTGGAGACATGATGGCTCAGTTGTTAAGATGCATACATACTGCTCTTGCAGAAGCCCCAAGTTCAGACCCCATCACCCAAGTTGAGTGTTTCAAAATTGCCTGTTACTCCAGCTCTAGAGTATCCAACACTGTCTGCTGACCTTCCTAGATATCCACATAGACATGCTTGTGTGCATATAATTAAAAATAAATCTTAGAAAAGAACAAGCTAGAGAAGTGGCCCAGTAGTTAAGGGCATTAGGAGTTTCTGTGATTGACAGGCAGGCGGAGGTCTTTTGCTAAGGCAGGCTGCTCCAGGACTAGATGCACCTTTCCCTCCCCCATCAGTTGACCATCAGGGCAGAGAAACCAGCATTACAAGGTTTCTGTGGAATGCGGAATTTGTTTCTGTTTACCTGATAAGAATCTCTGTTTACTGGGTAAGAATCTGCTTGGATTAGGACATTGTCAGCAGCACTGCCATTCTGGGACCTTCTTTGTGATCTAACAGCAGGTACCACAGAAAGCTGAACTTAAAAATGACCTTCTAAGAAAATATTAAGGGAAAGCTTCCTTCCCTTAGCCTGTTAAAGTGTGTGTGTGTGTGTGTGTATGTGCGTGCGTGCGTGCGTGCCTGTGTGCGTGCGTGCGTGCCTGCCTGCCTGCCTGCCTGCCTGCTTGAACGTACAGGCATGTATCAGATCCCCTGAAGGTAAAGTTACAGATGTTTGTGAAACCTTTTGGCTGTTATAGAAGTGCTAGGATTTGAACTCTGACCCTCATGATTGCTAGCGAGTACTCCTGAGCTATCTCTCCAGCCACTTAAATTTTCTTTTTAGAATCTTTCTTAGAAGAACATCCTTATCAAAATCTGTGTAGCCAATACAAAATTTTGTAACCTAACAAAACTTCTATCATAAAAGTCAATGAATGTTGTCTTATATTAAGAAAAACTATACTTTCAATAAACTATACTGTTTTAAATGTTTATTCTCCAACGTTTTTTGTTTGAAGATCAGGAAGTGTTATAGTCAAAGCATCTTAATATTTTATTAAAACGTAATAGATTCAAAAATAATACTTTATAATAGTTTAAAAAAAGATTCAAGTCTGGGTGAGGGCATGTGTGTGCCACAGCATGTGTATGAAGGTCAGAGAACAGTTTTTGTAGGTGGGTTCTCTTTTTCTACTGTTGAATCTGGGAATCGAACTCAGATTGTCAGGTTTGCATAGCAAGTACCTTTACCCACTAAGCCATCTTTCTTTAAAGTCTCCATTTTAAGAAAAAAAATTTACTTTGTTTTTTTTTTCTTTTTAAATATTATCTTATTTTCATTTATGTGTATGTATCTGTTATATGTGTGGTACCAGAGGAAGAAAGAGAATCTTGGACCCCTGGAATTGGAGTTACCAGCAGTTGTGAGCCAAAAGCGTGTGTACTGAGTCCTTTGAAAGAGCAGCAAGCACTCTTAATCAACAAACCAACTCTCCAGCCCCCATTTTAATAGGTTTTTAAGAAATAAGAATACCTAAATGTGGGACTAGAGAGATGGCTCAGCAGTTAAGATCACTGGCTGTTCTTCCAGAGAGTTCAATTCTCTGCAACCACATGGTGGCTCACAACCATCTATAATGAGATCTGTTGCCCTCTTCTGGCATATAGGCATACATGCAGGTAGAACACTGGATACATAATAAAATACTTACATAACATGCATACATAACATATATACATACATACATACATACATAACTTAATGTTTATTGTAAGGCAGTAAAGATTAGTCAGGTCTTTGAAGAAGTTATTAAATGTAAAATATATGTCAGAATAAAAGAAATTAAGATCACCTGATTTTATTCTAAATCTCTTACTCAGTTATTTTTAGTTCTATGTATGTGTTGGGGGAGGTGTGCATGTGTGCTTAGATGGCCATGGAGTCCAGAGGGCATTAGGTCTCTGGAGCTGCAGGTGTTTGCCAGCCACCCAGCCAAGCTCAGGTCCTACAGACAAGAGCACTACATGATTTTAATCACTAAGCCATTTCCCCAGACCCACAGACCTGTTTGTTCCTTTGTTTGTTTGTTTTTAGGTAAGTAGGGGTGAAGTGGCTGCATATTTGAGGGGTGGGGCCTGGGAAGGCCAGAGGATGAATCCGGTCCTTTGGAGCTGACATAACTAGGTTTTAATCTGGGCTCTAGACCTTTGGAAGGGTGGTAAGCACTCTTAAACACTAAGCCATTTTTTGAAAACTTTTTCTGTAAATCAGTTTTGCTAGATCTTTTGTAAACCATACAAGAGGTTTTGTTTTGTATGCTTTTCCCCTCAATCTTAGGTTCCAAAATTAACATTTCAAAAAACTGGATCCTGTAGTTAACATTTGAATATATACATTTCATTTACGCATGACTGAATAAAAACTTTGAATCGCCATTTTTGTTTAAGAAGGCTGGGCGGTGGTGGCGCACGCCTTTAATCCCAGCACTGTGAGTTCGAGACCAGCCTGGTCTACAAGAGCTAGTTCCAGGACAGGCTCCAAAAAAAAAAAAACACAGAGAAACCCTGTCTCGAAAAAAACAAAAAAACAAAGAAGGAAAAAGAAAATGTAGGCAACAGTTCCTCTAAGTCCAAAAGTTATCTTTAATATGTTTGTACATTTTAAATTATGCATACGAAGAATAATTTTAGTATGCAGTGATTATTTTTAAAAAATTAAAAGAAAAACTAAACATACATTAAGTAGTTACTTTTAGGAATCTTAGAGGCAGATTAAGTTTCTAAACCCATTCTTTTTTGACATGTATTTCCTGTGAGATTGTTGCACTGTGGCCAGATACCTCAAGACTTCAGTTAAGACCCATATTGCCTTGAGGTACCCAGAGAGCCAGAGGGAGCATTTTTCTCTATAGAGTTCAAGGGGTCCCCAATGTAGATAAATCTCTAATGCTACAACCATTAAATTTTCAGCCTTTGTTAGGATAACTATCAGAGATCCACATTAAACACAAAATAACAGACATTAAGTGAGAAGCGCTCTTAAACTGTGTGTGTGTGTGTGTGTGTGTGTGTGTGTGTGTGTGTGTGTGTGTTTTGTTTGAGACAGGGTCTTACTAGGTAACCTTGCTGCTGTGGAACTTGCTGCTGTAGCCAATGGTGCCCCGAATTCATAGACCTCTCTACCTATTTCTACGTCCCAAGTGCTGAATCAAAGGCATGTGTCTTCTAGCAAACTCAGATTAGTCAGCTAAAATTTTTCCTTAGAGCCACCAAAATATCATAGGCTTAATATTCCCCATGTTAAGACAAATTACAATAGAGATCTCTCGCTTTTTTTTTTTTTCGTTTGTTTTGGTTTGGTTTTTTGTTTGTTTGTTTCTCTGTGAACCCCTGGTTGTCCAGAATCACTGCATAGACTAATCTGGCCTTGAACTCACAGAGATCCACCTGTCTTGAGTGGGGGAATTAAAGGCAAGGCGAGCACCACCACCACCCAACTTCAGATTTTTAATTCAAATTCAAATATAAGGAAGACAAGTTTCTCAAGAGTCTTTGTCTTGGTTCCACAGCACAGCAAGGGTATACCAATGACTGTTCAAGCCTCTCACAGTGTAGATACTTTATCTCCTATCAGTTCGTTCTGTACACTGACCAAGAAAGAGCCAAATGGTTCCCACTTGGAGATAAGAACTAAGCCAAAGTCTAAAGGTGTATCCCAAATCAGGCTACACTGGAAAGCAAAGTGGGTGTTCTGCCAAACTGAATCTGAGCTTTGCTGTTACATAGCCAGCCCTTCAGCATTCAGTGTAGTCCTCAAATTGACAGGCATTTCAAACATCCCTTCCTTAGTAATTGGCACCAAGAGCATAAAACAAACCAAGGTCCTGACCATAGGGGTTAAGCTTAAAGGCAGAGAAGAGTTCAGCAGCTAGGAGTGCTCAGGATTTCACTGAGAACTTGCATAAGAGACATTAAGTCACACAAAGTAGGGCTTGCTAAGGGAGACTGCCTCCAAAATACCCCAAACTTAAGTTAGTGTGCTGACCAGAACAGTCAGAGATAGGCAAAATTCAGGATGCTAGGATGTAATACTTATTTACCACAACTGACCAGCCATTAGTCTCCACTCCGTAACTAAGGAGACAGCCCTGACATACAACCTGCTGCTAGGCCCATTTCTCTTTCAGAGATGTCTCTCAACAGACAAGGGGCAGCACAGGGTGACAACTATCTTGTAAGTCCTGGCCTGCCATAAAGGCTATAAAGGCCCAGTTACCTTTTTTTTTTTTGTTTGGAGTTTTTGGTTGGTTGGTTGGTTTGGTTTGGTTCTTTGCTTGTTTGAGACAGGGTTTCTCTGTATCTTTGAAGCCTTTCCTTGAACTCACTCTAGACCAGGCTGGCCTCAAACTCACAGAGATCCACCTGTCTCTGTCTCCTGAGTTCTGGGATTCAAGGTGTGTACCATCACTACCCATCTCCCCAGTTAACTTCTTAAGAAAAGCATACTTTTTCAGGTGAGTAAGATGATCTTAGGTAACAGCTGTTTGAAATATGACAACACAGTTTATTTAAAAATAACTGGCAATAATTTCTTTGTAGTGTAAATCTCTCATTAGCCTAAATGGCCAGACTTGAAATCTCCTGTTTCTGTTAAAATTATTCAAAATGTAACCTAGGACCCAGACCTGAAAGAATTTGAAGGACAACACCACATGGGGAATGATAAGCCCAAAGTGTACAAAAATTAATAATATCTATCTGTGGCCGGCTTCCCTTTGGGCATTAGCCAGAGCCATGTGTACAATAGGTCCTTCTTTTCCAGAGTGTAAATTCTCATGGGTGGGGATGGGTGCATATTTCTGCTATGCACCCATCAAAGTAGGACTGGAGATTTAGCTTGCTGTTAGAGTGTTTGTTTAACTTGCTTAAAGCCCTGGGTTTAGATCACTGGCACCATGAAAATTCCTTTCCTGTTCTGAGATCAGAAACATGTTCTACTATATCATTTTTATAGAAGACATCTACAATTCTGCTTTCTAGGTTCGGTTTTCTTTATTTTTGCTTGTTATATGTCATTGAGTGAGCAGGAGCTTCTTTCTTTTTTCTTTTGAATGTTTAAGATAGCACTTCACTGTGTGGCCCAGGGTGACCTTTGATTTGTGTCTCTTGGTGGTGCTTCCTAAGTGGTAGGATTACAGAAAAGGACTACTGGACCTGGCCTTTATAAATTTGTTTTTCACTTTGGTTTTTAAAGTATTCCAGAATTGTTTTTGTTTGTTTGTTTGTTTAGAGAGCTGTAAAGAAGATATTCGACTTCATTTTGTAAAGCTTTAATAATTTTGACCTAGCCCATTTACTTTCCCTGCTGCTAGGCCGTGCTGCCTTTACCACAGATCAAGGCTCCACCCTCAGTAGTATGCTTACCTGCACAAGATCCGCAAAGATCACACCAATTGACACATAGACATGGATGGAGGGAATTTACACCAGGCCCTACCCAAGATGAATAGCCATATGCGAGCTTGTAAAATGTATAAAATGCTCATGGATTCGGGGGAGGTGAGGTGGGAAGAGTCGGATCAAGGAGAGGGAGGTGGAAAGGATGCAAATATAGCATAAAAGTATAAAATTCTCAGATTAAAATATTCTGTACATCGGGCTGGAGAGGTGGCTCAGAGGTTAAGAGCATTGTCTGCTCTTCCAAAGGTCCTGAGTTCAATTCCCAGCAACCACATGGTGGCTCACAACCATCTGTAATGGGGTCTGGTGCCCTCTTCTGGCCTGCAGACATACACACAGACAGAATATTGTATACATAATAAATAAATAAATAAATAAATAAATAAATAAATAAATAAATAAATAAATAAATAAGTATTTAAAAAAAATATTCTGTACATGTATTGATTTTTCTAAACAATTCTCATTTATTCTGTGTTGGCACCTTTACCAGAGTATTACCCTTAGTCGTAATATAGTCCTTTTCCTCTTCAGTATATATTATGTCATGTCACATAGTTACTTGATCTGTGTCCCGTAGTCAGTACAAAACAAAGCTCTTTCTCCAATTGGAATGAAAAAAATATCACTTATTCTGAGCAATATATAAGTGACCATGGCTCAGGAACATGGATTCAGGTTTCCCTGAATAACATGTTCCAGTGTACAAATGGTTGCATTATTTCCTTATAGTCATATAAATAAATAAATAAGATCATAAACTGGTGCATCTGGATGCTCTCAATGAAAATAGAAAATAAAAGTTTGAATTTGTTAAAATAAGAAATCACTGCAAATTCTTAAGGCTGCCTGGAGTTCTAGTGCAAATGCAATGTTTGCTTTCTGAAATGATCCCTAACTCAGGTAACTAGCTCGCACAGACTTAGACTCAGGAGCCTCATTAGGGGGACACCTGATGACGAGGGTTTGGTAACTATGAATATACTGACATTTTCCTCTTAGTTGCTGAGCACCTAAAAGAGCAAGCCTGCAAATACTTGAGACATAGAATAACAACAGCTAATCTAGCTTAATTTGAGATGTCTAATCACTAAAACTGTTCGACTGTCATGAACTGGTATCCCATCTAGTCCTCTTGGTACCGATAATGTGGGTAGATGCGGTCATACCCGATTTACAGAGAACAAACCGAGGCTTATACACCTACCTAAGATAGCAGAACTAAAGAAGTAAGACTGGGGTGATCACTGACTCCAGAGCTTCCCTTCAATGGGAGTAGACACAGCAGGGCATATAGGTACTGTGGAAATAATGAGACAGTTTGTAGTGAAAAGAAAAATTAGGGCTGGGCTGAGGAGATAGTTCAGTCATAGGCAGATTCTGGGGATTTACTAGCCAGCCCAGTCTAGTTGACTGAAATAGTGCATTCCATGTTCAGTAAGAAACCCCATCTCTGAAAGTGAGAAGCAATTAAGGGAGGAATCTGGCAATCAGCGTCAGGCTTCATGAGTACTCAGATGTGCGTGCACACATTACACACACACTGTTAGAAAATAAAGCTGAGCATGGTGGCACTGAGGAGACAGTGACAAGTGGATCTTTGGTGTTCACTGGTTAGCCAGCCCAATCTTTATAGCTAGTTGTTCACTAGTGTGAGACCCTGCCTCAGTAAGACAGAACGACATTTACGGTTGTCTTCTGGACACATTCACACGTGCATACACAAATGAAAGTTAGAATTTTAGCTTCTGTCTTCAGTATTCTCTCTGCCTAAACATAGACAAATACATGGCTTATGTTGTTCTTAGCTGTGCCCTCAAACGGACACCTTAAACTCAGTTCTTTCATGTTAGGTTGTCTGGTAGCTGTTAATGGAAAAGAGTACTTTGATATTTGTATTTTCAGAAGAGTGAAGTATTTATGCGCTGTTAGTAAAACTTTTAAAAAACAATGTATTAAGTGCTGACTGAATTAAATGTTTATAAAAATTTTATTGGAAACCTGATCTTAATTCTTTGTATTACCTAAGTTAGGAAGTTAATAGGTTGTTGGTGAAAAGTAATAACACATTTTCTCCTAAATGTATTATATTTTCAATAAATTCTTCAGAGTTTGAACTCATCAAAATGATGGATGAAATTCAAAGTAATTTAAAGTGCCTTGGTCTTTTGGAGCCATATTTCTGGAAAAAGGGAGAACCTTGTGCAGTGAGAGGATCTGATACTTTGTGGTATCGTGGCAAAGTCATGGAGGTTGTAGGAGGCACCATCCGGGTGAGTCTAAACATTAGAGGAGTACATAGCCAGACTAGATGAAAACACCTTTTGGTGAATTTAGGAAGATCAAACACACTATATTATACTGTTATTTGTAACAAGGATTTTCTTTTTTATTTCCTTTTTGTTGTTCTTGATATTTTTGTTCTGTTTGGGTTTGGTTTTGAAACACAATCTCTCTATGTAGGCCATACATGCAATTTGGGATGCTCCCACTTGAGCCTCCCAAGTGCCAGTATTACAGACCTGCTCCACTACCCAGCCTCTGTTTGCAGATGTACTAGAGCCTGAATAATGAAGAGATCACTGCAGGTGTGGTGTGACTGCTAGTGCCTAACGGGCACACCCTAGCTGTAACAGGTGGCCTAATGGACATACCCTAGCTGTAACTGGTGGCCTAATGGACATCCCCTAGCTGTAACTGGTAGCCTAATGGACATACCCTAGCTGTAACTGGTAGCCTAATAGACACACCCTAGCTATAACTGGTAGCCCATGGAATCGCACACATATTATTAAGTAAAACAACTTATGCTTGGCAAGTTTGCTTGGCATAGCTCCTTGGCAGATTTGTTTAAGGCCCAGCTAGTCTTACCAAGTTATGGGTTAGTTTACCTTTCACAACAGTGAGGTAGCTCTTATATTTCTCTAGAATCTTTAAAAATTGCTTCATGCAGCCGGGCGGTGGTGGCGCATGCCTTTAATCCCAGCACTCGTGAGGCAGAGGCATGTGGATCTCTGGGAGTTCGAGGCCAGCCTGGTCTACAAGAGCTAGTTCCAGGACAGGCACCAAAGCTACAGAGAAACCTTGTCTCGAAAAACCAAAAAAAAAAAAAAAAATTGTTTCATGCATTGAAAAATGAAAATGTAAAATATGGTATAAATACCTCCATTTACCAAGTAAAGTGATGAAATTGATCAGATATTTTTATCATCTATATAATACTAGAAATTTAACTATTCATTGGGGTGGGGTAAAATATTAAAGAAAAATATTTTGCATTTTTACTTAGACAGAAATTTACCTGTTTGATGATGGTACCTAATAATTACATAGTTCAAATTTCAGCTTCTTCCACATTTGTAGAATTAACATGCCTACCCAGTGAAAAATCACTCTACGCACTTAGTGATTAACAAGAAAAGAACTCATTAATAAGGCACATCTCAGTCTGAGTAATGCAGGGAGCCTGCCCTGAACAGAAAGTCTAACCAGCTCATCATATACACCCTAGGCTCACTCATTCTGCCTGTGCCCTTATCCTTACCTCTCATTCAGATCCCTGCTCCAGGGCCCACTTGGAGCAGTTTAAACAGAGGCAGGAGACTGCAAGCCTGGCCACTTGGGCAGATGGGAGATTTACACAGCAAGGATATTGTCAGAATTATTTCTTAAGTCATACACCAGTGTTGTTCTTTTCCAGCCATTGTTACCTACAGTTACCTTGCCCACCTGGCAGGATCATGCTTCTCCTGATAGAGAGCGTGGACTGTGGACTTAATGGCAGGCTAGGACTTGATGTTGTGACCCTTTGCTGCCCCCTTGAGCTTTCCTGAAGAAGCATGTTCTTTGATATGGGAATGGAGCCTAATTGGAGGTGATCTTAGCGCATAAGCCTTAGCAGCAACCAGCCCAAACTCTGGTTGTGTTTCAGGGCTCTCTCTCCTGGTACTTCCATCAGGTCTGGCTAGTGCACAACTTATCTTACAGCTCTATTGGAGGCAGCTGTCCTTTAGCTAAATTCAACTTTGTGTAACTTAATGTTTTCTACACTGTTTACTTTATGTCATCAGTTTCACTACTTAATGTTTCTTCTGCATCATGAACACATCACCACACTGAACAACATTTGGAGAGATTTTTTTGTGGGCTACATTGAAAATCTTGTCTCAAAAGCAAGCAAACAAAAAACCTTATTTTAGTGCTCCTTATTTTATGACAGTTTAACAATTGAATGATCAAAAGAAAGTCATTTCCAAAACAAGCTGAGATATTTAATGTCCACGGGTTTCATTTTTTGTTTTTAAAGTTTTATTTTTATTTCAAATTATGCACGTTTGTGATACATGCAAGTGAGCGCAAGTGCCTTTGGAGGCCAGATCCCCAGGAGCTGGGACTGCAGGTGCTGTGGTTGCTGGGAATCATAACCATGGACCTCTGGAAGAGCTGCACATGCTCCTAACTGCTGAGCCGTCTCTCCAGCCCTGCTGCAGTGCATTATTTGTGCATAGGTGTGGGTCGCATGTGCACCACTGCATACTTGTAGAAGTCAGAGGGAAACTATGGAGTCTGCTCTCTCCTTCCACCTTTCCGTGAGTTTCAGGGATTTAACTCAGACTGTCAGGCTTACTCAGCAAGTACTTTGTCTGCTGAGTCATCTTATCAGCCCTTTAATACTCAAGTTTTAAAAATAATAATAATAAATTTGATTTAAAGGCAACCTGTATACTACCTCTTTTAACAATTTAGTTTCATTCTCTATGGAATGAGGGAATATAGATGTTCTTTTTATATATGTCTCAGTATATAGGTCTGGTTGGTCTGGAACTCGATATGTAGACCATGCTGGCCTCTAACTCAGAGATCCACTTGCCTCTGTCTGTATGTGCTTAGGATGTCCTTTTGAGACTGTATAGCCTAAGCAGGCTTCGAAGTCCAAATCCTCCTGCCTCGACCCTTCTGAAACTGAGATTACAGACATGTGCCCATGCCTGTCTGTTCCTTAGTTCACATTTGTTGTTTGAGGCAGGGTCTTGCTTTTTAGCCATGTCTGGCATGAAACACACTGTGAGTGCATACTCTTCTTGAATTTGTGGCAGTCCTTCTGCCTCTCTCCCAACTACCAGAGTTAGAGCTGCACCAGAAGACCCAGAGGTTTTGTTGCTTTTTAAACTTTAAAATTTTGTCATTGTCAGGGATGTTAGGAAGGATGCTTCCTGTCCTAACTTGTGGAGGTCAGAGGACAGTTTTATGGAGTCATCTCTTTCCTTTCACCTTTATGTGTGTTCCAGGAATCAAACTCAGGTCTTTAATGGGGAGGGGGGGTATTTTATCTGCATGTATGTCTGTGTACCATGTGCATACAATGCCCCCAGGAGCCAGAAGACAGTGTCAGATCTCCTGGAACTGGAATTACAGTTATTTGTAAGCTTTCATGTGTTGCTAGGGACTGACTGACCCCAGGGTCCTCTGAAAGAGCAGCCAGTGCTCTTCACTGTAATACTCCACCCCCAGCTTCTTAAAACTAGAAATCTCCTTTGTCATCCAGCTTTTTAGATACATTTTAATTAAAACTTGGTCTGTTTCAGGTACAATATTTAGATCATGGGTTCACTGAGAAGATTCCACAGTGCCATCTTTATCCTATTTTGCTGTATCCTGACACACCCCAGTTTTGTATTCCCTGTCAGCTCTATCAGACCTTACCGGTGAGCAGAGTAGTGTGTGGGCAGTCACTTTTAAATTTGTCTTATATAATTAATAGTTTAGAAATTAGAGTATATAATTAAGACCCTTTCAATTGTAATACAAATTTTTTCTTTCTAAATTTTGTTTTGTTGTTGTTGGTTTTGTTTTGTTTGTTTTAACAGGGTCTCACTATATAGCCTTGGCTGTTCTAGAACTCACTAAGTAGACCAGCTGACCTCAAACACATAGAGATCTTCCTGCCTTTGCCTCTCAAGTGCTGGAATTAAAGGCATGCACCACCATATCTGACAAAGGGTTTGTTTGTTTTTAATGTGTCTGAGAGTTTTGCCTGCACGTATTTAAGTGTACCATATGCATGCAGTGCTCATGGAGGCCAGAAGAGGGAGTAGGATCCAAGGAACTGGACTTACAGATGCTGGTTAGCCAGCAAGTAGGTGCTGGGAACCAACCCAAGTCCTTTGAAAGAACAGTAAGTGCTCATAACCACTGATCTTTTTCCAGACCCCATCCAGCAATATAAAATTAAAAATATCTACAAGTAAAAGACAACTTAAAGACCTTTAATGAGAAAGACTACACAATTTACTGCAGTATATAAAACCTCTGAGTAAATGGTCACACTCTGCTGAGACAGTCTTAAGCAGTTATTTCTTCAGTTTTAGCAATAACAAAGCTCAAACAGTAAATTCCTTTCCTGTTGCAGTTTCTGGGGCTCCAGGGTCAGAGATGGCTTGGCTGGGTGGTTTGGAATTGAGTCCTTTGTGATAGTGATTGAAAACATCACTGAAGTATATCCATTCAGAGAATTCCTGGAGATCCAGGAGCTATTTGCAAAGGGCTCATCACATGGCTGTTGTCTTGCCTAGAGGCTCCGACATGTTAAGAAGTATGTCCCTTGGTGAATATATACTGTTGGCCTGTATAGGCACTGCATGGGCAGATTGAACTGGTTTTAGAGTTTTAAATATGACATGTTGTCTTTAATATAAATTTAGGGTTTTTTTTTAAAGAGGGTTCTTTTTGTAGCCTTATAATTTTTGAGAAGGGATGGTTTATAGCCCTGGCTGGTCTCTAACTCCCTCTGTAGCAGAGGATGACCTTAAATTCTGATCTTCCTGCTTTCACTTCCCAGGTGGTTGGGTCATACGTGTGTACCACCATGTCTAGTTAATATGACACTGATGATCAAACCCAGGCTTTCATACATGCTAGGCAACTCTCTACCAACTAAACTGCATCCCCTGCCCTAGTTTTTATGCTTTGAAAGCATAAAATGTTGAGTACAGTAGGGAAAAGCTCAGATAAATATGAATTTCTTAATAGATATCTTCTATTTTTCTAATACATATGTGTCCTTATGTGGGTATATACATAAGTGTGGGTGCTACAGAGTCCAGAAAGGGGAGTCAGTTGTCCTGGAACTGAAGTTACAAGTAATTGTGAGCTGTCCAACATGGGTGCTGGGAACCAAATTCTAGTCCTCTCACGAGGGGGAAGACTTTGTTGCTGCTGAGCCATCTCCAGCCCCTGGATAGGAAATTTTCGAGATGATTCTTGTTGGCTGCCTATGATACTCATGTGAATTTGGTTCTACCACCAGACACTCTCTGCATATGGCTGTTTCTTTGTGTCTTAATTTATTCTTGCTTGGTGTCATGTTATGAAGTATAAGTGTGTTCATTCTACACAGGTTGGAAATGTGTGGCAGCCGGATGCCATAGAGCTGCTTCAGGAGCTGCTTCCAAAGAGAGAGGTGGACATTCACATTATGGTAAGTTGTCTTTAAAGTATAGTCAGTTGAAACTGTTTGTCATGAAGTATTATAATCAATATAACTTGGTGAATATTTTTGATGACAAGCCATTTTATATGTGTTCATATAAGAATATAGATTATTTGTCAAGGTTATAAGTTATTACTTTGGTTGCTATGCTTATTTTAAATAAGCCTAATTTTGAACAAGTTCCTGAGAAGTTTCTTAAGCATTAAATTGAATGACTGGAAGACCTGTTCCTAATAGTTTCTTTACACAGATACAGGGCAATATGCCATTGTTGATATGCATCAATAGACACCACCGTGTGCAGAGTCTGCTGCCATACAGCATTGTGTAAGGTGCAGAGTCTGTCATAATCTCTGTCCTCAAAGGCCTCCCCCAGATAGTGAAGCAAGACATCCGTTCTGCAGAACAAGATAAGCCAGGAGACAGTGGAGGGAATTAAAGGTGACAGTCCTGACAGGGACCCAGAACTCACAAACACATACTGGGGACAACATAGGTAATAGTCTGGTAGAAGGGAAGAGGTTTCTAGAAAGGGGAGAAGTGGGGAGTAGGATGCAGGAGTGGCCTGTGAAGGATGCTAAGCACTAAAATAGTAACATTAATCCATAGCCATTTGAGGCCTGGCATTGGGAGAGAAGAAAATGGTTAGGAAAAGACTTCATTCAGGAGCCACAGGCGCCACCTACATAAGAAAGCTGGTAGGTTATTGCTAAAGGTTCCTGCCCAGCTACTCCAAGAATCCTTGTCAAGTCACCTAATAAAAGGTAGAAATTAATTTTTTTTACTTAGTCAAGGTAATTTTCTTTACAGCTTAGCTTTCAGAAAAACCACCTTTGGTTTTGCAGACTGAATGTCCAGTGTTCCTTAGCTCACTTGGCTCCGTGTCTTGCCTACACATGCTCCTCCAGCATTAGATACACTGAGAAATGCTTCTGAGGCTTGAACAAAGCAGCCCAGGGCCATGTCTGTGGAGCTGTTCATGGTGGAAACAGACAGCAGATGCAAGTACAGTGACCTCACTGACCTATGTAGTATAGCAGGCAGATGGTTTGGCAAACTCTGGTATTAAAAGATGCAGCTGGGAAAGAGGCTCCATGTTAACATGAATGTCAGGTGACATTTCAGTCAAGACTGTAAGGTGTGGCAGGACAGGGCATGCTGTTGCTGGGAGAAGGTGCCATGGACCCACATAGAAGCAGCCATGTGTGGAAGGATGGCAGAGATGTGGTGATTATGAGGGCCTGGCCTATCCTGCCACACAGGCACGCAAGGTCAGACACACTGTGTGTTCTAGTTATTTCCTACTGGCTACTTAATATAGTTGGTTAGTAGGAAACAGAAGCAGATAAATCATTCAAAGGCATTTCCCTTTCCTCTATAAGGATGTTAATTTGAAGAATAGTGGGACTAGTGGAAATGGGAAAGAAATTACCAAATATATATATATATATATATATATATAGCTTAACTACAGATTCAACACAATGCCCATCAAAATCCCAGAAAAATTCTTCAAAGACCCTGAAAGAATGGTACTCAACTTCATATGGAAAAAGCAAAAAGCCCAGGATAGCCAAAACAATCCTGTACAATAAAAGAACTTCTGGGGGCATCACAATCCCTGACTTCAAACTCTCCTACAGAGCTACAGTACTGAAAACAGCCTGGTGTTGGCATAAGAACAGACAGGAGGACCAATGGAACCGAATAGAAGACCCGGATATCAATCCACACATCTTTGAACACCTGATCTTTGACAAGGAAGCAAAAAATATCAAATGGAAAAAAGAAAGCATATTTAACAAGTGGTGCTGGCATAACTGGATTTCAATATGTAGAAGAATGAAAATAGACCCATATCTATCACCATGCACAAAACTTAAGTCCAAATGAATCAAAGACCTCAACATAAAGCCAGCCACACTGAACCTTATAGAAGAGAAAGTAGGAAGTACACCTGAACGCATTGGCACAGGAGACCACTTCCTAAATAGAACCCCAGCAGCACAGACACTGAGAGAAACAATTAATAAATGGGATCTCCTGAAACTGAAAAGCTTCTGTAAAGCAAAGGACACAGTCAACACGACAAAACAAATGGGAAAAGATCTTCACTAATCCCACATCAGACAGAGGTCTGATCTCCAAAATATACAAAGAACTCAAGAAATTGGACACCAAAAGAACAAATAGCCAATTAAAAAATGGAGTACAGACCTAAACAGAGAACTCTCACCAGAGGAATCTAAAATGGCTGAAAGACACTTAAGGAAATGTTCAACATCCTTAGCCATCAGAGAAATGCAAATCAAAACAACTCTGAGATTCCATCTTACACCTGTAAGAATGGCCAAGATCAATAACACTGATGACAACTTATGCTGGAGAGGTTGTGGGGTAAAGGGAACACTTCTGCATTGCTGGTGGGAATGCAAGCTGGTACAACCCCTTTGGATGTCAGTGTGGTGATTTCTCAGAAAATTAGGAACAACCTTCCTCAAGACCCAGTAATACCACTTTTGGGTATATATCCAAAGGCTGCTCAATCGTGCCACGAGGACATGTGCTCAACTATGTTCATAGCAGCTTTGTTTGTCAAGCCAGAACCTGGAAACAACCTAAATGCCCCTCGACCGAAGAGTGGATAAGGAAAATGTGGTACATTTACACAATGGAGTACTACACGGCAGAAAAAAATAATGACAGCTTGAATTTTGCAGGAAAATGGATGGAGCTAGAAAACATTATTTTGAGTGAGGTAACCCAAACCCAGAAAGACAATTATCACATGTACTCACTCATAGGTGGTTTTTAAACATAAAGCAAAGAAAGCCAGATTACAAACCACAATCCCAGAGAACTTAGACAACAATACAGACACTAAGAGGGACTTACATAGATCTAATCTACATGGGAAGTAGAAAGTAGAAAAAGACAAAATCTCCTGAGTAAAATTGGGAGTATGGGAACTCTTGGGGAGGATTCAAGTTGGGGGGAGAGGCAGGGAGGAGGGGAGCAGAGAAAAATGTAGAGCTCAATAAATATCAATAAAAAAGAAATAGCTTAACTAGCTGTGGACCTACCAATTCTTGGTAATTCTGAGTGGACTTTGTCAGTGCTAAAGCCATTATCATTATGATATCTTACTTGAGAATGTTGATTTCTTCTTATTCTTGATATTTGGAGATTTTTAGTTAAAATTCATTTCTTTGCCTCTTAACCTGTTCTTAGTATAAATTAGTATCTAAAGATGACACATCTGTAATATCTAACAACTAGGAAATCTGTGTAGTATAGATATGCAAGTATATTTTATATAAGTCTAAGAGTAGAATTACTGCTTCATCATCTGCCAAAATATCAGGAAAAAAATTCTTGCTCTGCGTCACTCAGACTGTTTGGTGATGCTGTTATTGTTGGAAACCCATGTCATATTTGCTAACTGTAAAAGTTTAGGCACTGAGTAAAAGTTTTTATAGTAACAGTCTTCCTTATCAAAATTAATAGGAATTGCCTGAAAATCCATGGGGAAAGTTGTCTGTTCATCTCTATTTTGATGGGATGTCACTTTCTCATTTTATGGCTCATCATAAATATTGTATTTTTGAACATTCTGAGGAGATATTTAAAGAAGTAAGTGAACTGTTTTCCTATAAATAATATACATTTTAGTTGCTTCTGATTATAATGTCAAAATCTGTTTACACCTCAAGTCTTTTGTTGTGTCTCCTGTAGCTCGGGTTGGCCTTAAAAATCCTAATGCTTGTTCCTCTTTAAAATTCCTCCACCTGCTGGGATTACAGGCAGGTGCTGCCACATTCTGCGTATACCACCTGATCTCTTACAGGGGTGTAAAATGAGAAGTCACCAATTCTTTTTTAAAAAGAGTAACATGCTTTATATATTAGGAAAAACATTTTATTTACATTAAAAGTCTACTAATGTTTCTATATCTTCTGCCATAGTAAGGCTTCTTTATGTTAATCAATGTTTGAGTTTGAATATGAGATGTACTGTATATAATCTGTATATAGAGTTTCATGCCAATAAAGGGCTCTGTCCCCACATAAAATGTGTCATTTGACTTGAACTAGAAGCCTTATATTACAAGGTGAGTGTCGCTAATCTAAAAATCCAAAATACGATGATCTGAAATTGAAAATGTCTTGGGTGCCAACAGATATTGAGCATTCAAATTTTAGCTGGGCATGATGGAGCAGGCCAGCATTTGCAAACAGAAACAGGAAGGCTATCAGAAAATCAAAGTCATCTTTAAACTACATAATGAGTTGGAGGTCCACCTGGGCTACATGAGTCCCTGACTTTGAAAATATAATAGGATTTTTATCTTGATTTTTAAAGTTTAATTGTTTAAATTTTGTTTTATGTGTATGTGGACCACATGCATGCCTAGTACCCCACTGATGTCAGAAAGAGGATGCTAGATACCCTGAGACTAGAGTTAAAGATGGTTGTGAGCTGAGGGGGTCCCTGTAGGTGTTATACAGGGAAGCAAACTGCACAAAGAGATAAGAATGAAAACCTGGTGCAGATGGACTTCATCAGCCTGGATCAGAGACTTGGGGGAGTCTAATGCCAAGTGGTTCATTGTCGGCATATTTAAAACACAGTAAAATTTGGGAAAAGGTTTCCAGGCAACAGTCAGTCTAATCAGTCCAATTCCAGGTGCACAATGAAGCTTAAGAGTGACTACATAGGGAGCTGGAGAGATGGCTCAGGTTGGGATCACTGATTGTTCTTCCGGAGGTCCTGAGTTCAATTGCCAGAGACCACATGGTGGCTCACAACCACCTGTAATGAGGTCTGGTGCCCTCTTCTGGCCTGCAGGCATGCATGCAGACAGAACACTGTAAACAAAATAAATGAATCTTTAAAAAAAAAAAAAAGTGACTACATAGAAACTTCTTTACAAAGTACATATAACCATAAAGGTAGGTTCTATAGCTAAAAGACCTAGAATCTAGTGTGGCTCTGACATAGAGGCCATCAGGCATGTGACATCTCCCCTAAGAATGGGTAACAGTCTAGGGACTAGGGAGGGAAGAATCTGGGATAATCATTCTAGGGAATTTGGGTGAGGTCTGCCTCTATGATAAAGAGTGGATGAGGTCTGCCTCTGTGATAAAGAATAGATGAAGTCTGCCCCTATGATAAAGAGTAGATGAAGTCTGCCCCTATGATAAAGAGTAGATGAAGTAGGCCTCTGTGATAAAGAGTGGATGAAGTCTGCCTCTATGATAAAGAGTGGATGAGATCTGCCTCCACAGAGAGCAAAAGGCCATCAGTTCATTAACAAATCCACTCCCAGCTTTCTGGATGGAATGCAGGTATTGGATTTTTATCTTCTCCATTGAAGAAAGACACCCCTGTATGATTAACATTCCTGATTCTCTTAGTGCTTCTCTGTGAGTACAAGGACCTTTGTGCCCCCAACAGTGAGGTGCTATATGGGTGCTAGGAATTGAACCCAGGTCTTTTTCAAGAACAAAATGCTGAGCCATTTCTCAGCATTAGGGAGGCAGAGGCAGGTGGATCTCTGTGACTTCAAGTCCAGCCTGGTCTACAGAGTGAATGCCAACATGACTTATGCATCTAGTTTTTGAAAAGTATAAAAAAAATTCCTTAAAGAAGTATTTTGTTAGAAGATAAAAGTAGTTTTTAATTGATAAATAATATGCTATTATTTCAGAAACCAAGAGGTCAGGATAAAAAATATGAAGATGAACACTGGAAAATAAGATTTGAGGTAAGTTACAACCCCGATATTTTGGAAACTTTCAGCAATAGAAAGGATCTGATACATAGCTGGCTTAGCTGAAAGGGCAGTTAGCAAGAACAGTTGCTGCCAAGGCTGACACGAGAGTTTGATCCCCAGAACCCAGGCGATGGGAGAAGAGACCTGACTCACACAAGCTGTCTTCTGACCACCACACATGCCCTCTGGCTCTTACCACACACAAAAATAAATTAAGAAAAAATTTTGAAACAGGGTCTCACTATGAAACTGTAGACCGAGCTGGCCTCAAACTCACTAAGCTCCACCTATCTCTGCCTTCCAGCTGTGTTGGTATTAAAGGTGTGGGCTACCATGCCCAGCCACAAAAATTACTTTAAAATTAAAAGAAGAGCCATGCCTTTGATCCCATCACTCAGAGTTAAATGGATCTCTGAATTTGAGGCCAGCCTGGTCTACAGAGGGAGTTTCAGGATAGCCAGAGCCAAGACACAGATACCCTGTCTTGGGGGAAAAAATAAATAAAGAAGAAAAAATTCAAAATATAGCCATCTTATTGAGCTACTATTTATATACATAACTCATTGGATTTTAATACTTATTGAGTTGTGCAGCTAGCACTACTAAAACAAGAACATTCCAAAAAGAAACCAACTATAGTCGTTTTGTATCCTTTCCTTTCTCAGCTTTTGGTTACCACTCAATCTTGTCTCTATGGTTCTTCCTATTAAATGAAGTCAAACAATACATGGCCCTTTATCCTTGCTTTTTCCTTCATCTTTTCTTTTTTTAAAAAAATAACACTTTTTCTCATTACATTTATTTATTAGGGGTGGTGCATGTACATACCATATTTCTCACACACCAAGAAATATTAAATAGTAATGAAGTAACCCACAAATTTAAATGTGATGGCTTGTTTATTTTGTTTATGTTACTACATTCCTAAAGTGGAAGATACACTGATCTTTGCAGAAAACCTGCACCTATACCATGTGTATATTCCTTAACGGTTGGCTCCCACGATCCTCTTGAGAATCGTGTTTGCTTTCCCCTGTACTTTATAGAACTTAATGTCTTACCTTCTCAGTGGCTTTAACTTACCTCCTGTGAGCATTTGTGTGTTATTTTAGTTTCCTTTAAAACTACTTACAAAAGTAAACGAATGTTATAGAATAAGCCAGCCCAGTGTGGACACACAAGCCTTTAATCCCACACTTGGGAGGTAAGGCAGTCTGATCTCTGGGAATTCCAGGCCAGCCTGTGGTACACAGCGAGACCTGTCTCAGCAAAGGTGTATGTGTGGGGAATGTCACCCACTCTGTACCTCAGCACCCCAATTCCACTCCTTAGAGGTAGTCACTGTTGATACTGTCAACTGTATTCTGTCTCCATGTGGATATACATCAGTGGACCTGCATGCCTTTGTTTAACCCTTCTTTAGAAGTGAGGAGTCAAAGAACGCTGAAGACGATGAGTCACCCGCTTTTTGTGGTGTTCAGTACTTAGGAGGACTTGGTTTCTGGTAACTGAAATAAGTTGGCCCCATAATGAAGTTTTATGTTAATTTTCATGATTACCATTCTGAAATTTAATTTGTTGTGTGGTTTTAGGAATTGCTTTCACCTGAAATGGAGGCTCCCATTTTACCACCGTATCTGTCTTCACTTCTCCCTCCACCAGAGGAGCTGTATGCTGTGCGAGTAAAGCACATCGTCTCACCTAACGAAGTACGCGTCAGTCTCCATCTTCCTAGCTGCAAACGACAGGAGCCATCCTGTCGGGTCGTTGGATATTTGTTGGTACTCCGACACTGGTGTTTCTTAGGCATCTACCCATTTCCCAGGGCTGTCTTCTTTTATTTACTCATATGCTTATATGGATTGTTTAAATTTTTTAAATTTAGATTTATTTAATATTATGGTTTTTGCCTATACGTATGTATGTGCACCACATACATTCCTGGTGCCCATGGAAATCAGAAGAGGTTTATCAGTTCTCCTGGAATTGAAATTAGATGGTTTCGAGTCATTGTATTGTGAGTGCTGGGAGGAGCTGGGAGCTGAACCCAGGTCCTCTACAAAAGCAACAACTGCTCTAAACTACTAAGCATTCTCTCCAACTCCAACTCCAGGTTATTCTTAAAGCATATTCATTTTTAACTTATTTTATACCTATGGGTGTTGTATGTCAGAAGCCCAAAGAGGTTGTGCAGAATCTCTAACTGGAGTTACAGATGGTTATGAGTCAACACATGGGTGCTGAGGTACAAACCCAGGTCCTCTGAAGAACAGTCCTCTGTGCTCTTAACCAGTGAGCCATCTCTTCAGCCCCAAATGTGTGGCCCAAGTAAGCATATCCCACTTGCCTGATTACTTATGTTTTTAAGGTGGACCTTTCCCTTCTGTGAAATATTGAACATCTCACCCTTATATCTCTCCCTGCACTGAACTTATAATGTTCTTATCCTTGCTCTGGTTTTTCTGGACTACTTAAGACGTTTCCCACTGTCTATTCATGGTATTTGTCTCTAGACGATAAGTCCATGTGTGGAGCTGTGTGTGCCTGTGCTGAGGTCAAAGGTCCTCATGCCTACATGGCAAGTGCTTTATTCACTGAGCTGTCTCTCCAGGCCTAACTAAATAAGATGAAAGTGTAATTAGAGCTATTTCTTGGGAAAATTTTACCTCATTTTTAAAAGAAATGTTATTTTAAAGTTGTTTATAAATGAGGAATTTCTTCATTCTGGCAATACATTACTATAAAATATCTCTTGCATTCTAAGAGACTTGAACTTTTGCTGGACCTCACAGCCAGAATTATTATACACACTGTGAGGTCATTTAAGACATCCTCTGACTTCCACACATGTGCTCTGGTACCCATGTGCCTCCCCCACAATATAAATATATGTAAAATAGTTTTAATTAAAAATGTACATGATGGTCAAAACCCAAATAGTTTCTTAATTAAGTCTAGCTCAGTACTTCGTTATGTTGCGGTCAAGATACTGATGGGGCCTGTAGAATCCACTTCTGAAGAGTCATTGCCAGGTGTGGTGATACATGCCTGGGATTCAAACTCGGGAGGTAGAAGCAGATGAGTAGTGGTCTGAGGCCAGTATTAGCTACATGACACCCTGTCTCAGAACAAGTAAGTATTCACTTGATATGTCTAGAAGGCTCACTGCTGGCTTGAGGCCCTTTCAGGGGACTGTTCCATCGTAGCTTAGTACTTCCTGGAGCACACATTTCTACAACCCGTCTTCACAACCACACTCTTCTTCAGTTAAGTCTCTGGCAAGACACAGAGGGCACCCACAGAGCCACAGAACAGGAGGCAGTGGCCACTGGGCCCTGACTGGAGGCCACCGTAGGTGAATTCAAGAAATGACAGAATTTGCAAGGCTGTTTTTCCTTCTCTCCCTGCCACTCCCTGTAGGTGTACATTTGCCTTGATTCTGCAGAAAGCTGTTCTCACCATCCTGGTGACACAGACGACAGTGGAATCAGTTGGGAATCTGAGTCCGAGAACCTGGAGGAAGCACTGCAGAGATATAACAAGAATGTGGAGAACTTCCCTCCCCTGACAGACTTTAGCTCAGGTATGCTCATATTGTGCCCGGGTTCTTGGTAAGATTGCCCTGTATCCAATGGGCAGGGAGTTCGGAGGGTTATTTATAATTTAAGTGGCATCTCCTCTCCTCAACTTCACACATAGGCTTTCTAGATCCTAAAGACACCCGTTTCCTAAATTAGGAAGTGACCCAAGTGCATGCAGTAACATGTCTCTCTTGTGGGGACAGTTTCACTCTGCAAGAGTCAGGTGAGCTGGAAAACTAAGGGTCTATGGATGCTTGTTTTTAAGTTTGAGGCTTTCCCCCTAGCTCTACTTGTGAAAGCTGACTTTCGGACTGCAGTGGTAATGACTGACTACAATAACCTGGGCTGTAATGGTTTGTCAGGATAAGTTAAAATTCTTACGTTCTTCTTTTCAGTCTGTTCTTCACATCTTTATTAATACCCATGATTCTTTTCTGAGGAAAATTTACCCACTTGCCATTGACAGTCCCTGAATACCAGGAGTATCTTCACATTTTCCTGAATGGGGCATAGAGCTGTATTTATTCATGGTCTGTTACATGTAACTGTATGTTTAAGCAAAGGGTAAAACATACCAGCCTAACTTCTTACCTGATTTAACTTGATAATCTTCTGGTAGGCTACAACTTATTTTGGCTGATAACTGCTTCTGCTTGAATTGTCCTTCCCTCAGACTGTCTGTCACAGTAAAAAGTCTCTTGCTCAGCTCTCCCCATATTGGAGGTCCTGTCTTCTCTTACCTCTCCCAGCATGAAGCAGCATCAGCCCCCTCCCCCTGGCCCATGTTACAGAAGCACAGTGAGCAGGTACCACTCAGCAGCATCTGCAGTGATTGCAAGGGCGCTGTGCACTTAGGCTCACAGTTACCAAATGAGTGTAAGAGGAAACTCATCAGGTGGGTTTTGTGTACACAGACTTTCCAGTCCGGAAGGAAAATCCTTCCTCATTCACACACACCTCCAGGAAAGTCCTAGTCGGATCTAAACACACATGGTCTGTTTATTTCACAGCTACTTTATGCCTCCAGGGTTGCTCTTCTTTTTCCAATGCTGAGGATCTAATCAGGACTTTGCCCATGTGGAGCAAGTATTCTACTCTACCAGTGAGCTACATCCCCATTTTTTGCCAGTGTGACCTTACCTGTGTGAAAGTGGAACTAGGAAATCTGAGGATGGGCAGGTGTCTTTCTTCAAAACATAATCCTTAGATATTAATGAGAAAAGTTGATAAATGTAGGCAGAAAAGGGGAAGCCACCACAAGGCCAGACAGTCTTCAGTTCTGTGTAGTGACCATATGATTATATATTTATTTCTTTGTACTTTTTTAAGTTTATGATTTGTTCCCTCTTTCTGCTTTTCCAGAAATGCCTTGCCTTGCAGAATATGCTGATGGCTCGTGGTACAGAGCAAAGATCATTTCCATTAAAGAATTCAATCCTTTATCTGTCCTGGTACTATTTGTTGATTATGGGTCCACAGAGAAGCTGACAGTAAACAGGTAAAGGAGAAGAAAAAGTTGAATAAGAGGCTTTTCTTCATTCTGGCAACACATTATTATGAAATATCTGTTGCATTCTAAGAGACTAGAACTTTTGCTGGACCTCACAGTCAGAATTATGAGACACGCTGTGAGGTCACTTAAGACTTGAGACTGCTGACTGTTCACCCAAACTGCTTATTTAACCTGCCTTTAAGGGAACAAAATAGCCAGACAGTGGTGGCACATAACCTTTGATCTCAGTAGAGGCAGGCAGATCTCTGTGTTCAAGGCCAGCCTGATCTACAGCGTGAGTCCCAGGACAGCCAGGGCTACACAGAGAAATCCTGTCTTGAAAACTGAGAGAGATAAAATCCAACCTTACTTGCTTTGGGTTTCCCATGTAATCAACTTTTACAACCTAAACTAATGCATAGCTTTAATCTTAAATTTTGTAGTCTTCCATACCTCAGACTCAGAAAACAGTGTATGAGTGCTATGAAAAATCATTTGTTAAAAGCGACAAATAGGTTGAAAAGCAACCTATAAAAATGAATGTCATATATGTTGAAAGCAACATACAGACATTGCTTTATAATAAAGTATTAATCTGTGTCAGTGGGGATGGGTTGAAGTTAGTAAAGTTTCATCACTCATAAAATTCTGTTAAACATTTCTCTAAAGTGTCTCTCATTTCATTCCCATGTGATGCTTTCTCTGCTGTTCAGTAAAAGAGGGAGCAAAGCCCTTTGTTAGGGACACGCAGACACAGGGACAGGCGGAGTCCTAAGGCAGCATTCAGGCAAGCTGGCAGGCACATATTTAGACTCATAACAGACAGACGGGGCAGAGACATGGAGAGCATGAAGTAGAAGACTCAGATCTGGGCTCGTTCTTGGTTAAATTACTCCAAGGAGAAGCGCTTTTCTTTTGCTTAATTTTATTTTTTTATTTTATTTTAATTTTATTGGCAACTAGGCTTTGCACTAATGCATTAAAACTGATACATTTCATTAGTTTTACAGTTACTTTACAGGGATAGATAGATAGATAGATAGATAGATAGATAGATAGATAGATGATAGATAGATAGATAGATAGATAGATAGATAGATAGATAGATAGATAGATATGCACATATATACCACAGTGCATGTATTGAAGTCAGAAGAAAACCTATAGGAGTTACTTCCCTCCCTGCACCACATGGGGTCCTGAAACTGAACTCAGGTCTTAGGCTCCTCAGCAGTAAGCCCCCACCCACTGAGCCATCTCACCAGACTGGACTGATAATTTTAAAAATATATCCATTTTATTATTTTTTACTTATGTGTATGTATATGGGTTTAATGCAGATTAGCACAGGTATCAAACAAGATCATAGGTATCAGATCCTCTTGGAGCTGAATTTACTAGTAGTTGTAAGCCACCAGATATAGGTACCGGGACTCCAGATTAGGTCCTCTGCAAGAGGAATATATGCTCTTGACCACTGAGTCATTGCTTTAGCCCCAAATTGGGAATTTTGAATATAGATTTTTATTTTGATAGGATATATATAAAATTTATCATCTTAGTATTTTAGATGTACAATTAATGGGCTCCTAAGTACATTCACAATATTGTTCAACTTTATACTTTACATTTCCAAAACATTTTAAATCAATCTACACAGAAATTCTGCCCATTAAATAACCATGCTCCATTTCACCCTCAGCCCAGTAAGCTACTTTCTGTCCCTTCTGTTCTTTGTCTAGTCTTCAAGATTCATCCCTGTGACATATGCCAGTTTGCTTCCCAAGGCTGCTGCATGTGTGTGTCTCAACTTCAGACAGCCTTCATGAGTTGGCATTGGCACTGCTCTGCTTCTTCCTATTGTGAACAAGGCTGTAATGAATATGAGTATATAGGTACCTTGTTAAATTTGAAATGTATACCAGAAATGGAATTGCTGGGCCACATACTCTGTTTTACTATGTAAGGAACTTTCCTCTATGATTCTCCATAGCAACAGTACCATTTTACATCAGTAACAGAGCCTAAGGGCTTTGGTTTTTCTGACTTTTCTTCACTGTGCTCCTGGTGTCATCTTCACAAATTCCAGCGTCATGAAACTTTTGTTTTCTACTGAGTGATAGAGTTTTAAATATGAGAATTTGGATTGTGACATTGTGATCATTTTATCAATCTCTCTTCTAACAGACTTCGTCAGATTCCTGTTCAGCTTATGCAATATCCAGCCCAGGCCATAAAAGTTCTCTTGGCAGGATTTAAACCTCCCTTAAGTGACTCGGGAAAGGCAAGAATACCATACTGCCCCAAGTGGAGCATGGAAGCATTGTGGACTATGATAGACTGTCTCCAAGGAAAACAACTTTACGCTTCCTCTGTGGTAATTATCTATTTTAATTACCAAATTATCTTAAAGCTATTTACACTTTACAGTGTTTTGCTTCTGCTTAAGAACAATAGTTAAAGCACAGAAAGCTGCATAGACTATAGAAGTTCTGTCTTAAGGCTAGCTAACTCTTCCTATGGGGGCTTGGGATGGAACTCAGTAGAGCACTTGCCTCACATGCACAAAACCCTGGTGAACCAAGTGTGGTGAGGTACACCTGTGATCCCCATTAATGATATGCAAGCAGGTGGTCAGCACCCTGGGTCCTGTCACACCCACCAAAGAAAAAAATGAGCTTTAACAAACTTTATCTAAAGTGATACATATAATGAGTAATATAAGATATAAAGATGCACATCCTATAATCAAAGAACCTTCAAGTTAATGAAAAACAAGCATGCATAGCATTAAATCAGAGGTAAGATCAAACAAAGTACAGTAGAATTACAGGTAATTTTGTAGGCTCAGGAGAAATGTAAGAAATGATTATTTCATTTGAAGAGACCTGGAAAGGTACTTAAGAAACCTCTTAGTAGGCACTCAAGTAACTCATTAGGAAAGTAGGCCTAGAAAATGACACCCAAGCTGCATCCTGAAAACTGAGGAGCACGATGGTCAGAGAGACTGGAACTGTAAGGTGGCCAGACCTATATCAAAACTACAGGTTAGGGGGCTGGAGAGGTGGCTCCAGTGAGGAGCACGCACTTGCTGCTCTTGCAGAGGGACCTAGGTTTGGTTCCCAGTGGCTCACAACTGTCTACCTCTGTTCCTATAATTTGCCTTCTTCTGAGCTTGCTGGAACTGTATATACACTGTAAACTTAGATCATGAAGGCAAAGCACTCACACACAAAGACAGATTAGTTTAAAAGATAGTATCTAAAGTAGTATCTAGATAGTATCTAAATCTTTTTAAGCTTAACACGTCACAGTAGTATCCCACAGGCAACCAGGAACCTTGTTTTGAATAGTATCCTAGAACTGGAAAGTTTATAACACACACACACACACACACACACACACACACACACATACACACACACAAAATCTGGCTTCTGGTTTAACATTATAAACCCTAGGACTCCCAGACCTCCTTGACACAGCCCTGAGCTGCTGACATAGAAGGTATCTTCTGGGTTGCCCTTGGTCCTTACTACTGGTATTCAGGCCCTCCTGCTTCCCTCCTTCATATTCTCTGCCAGGTCCTAGAACAAAGAATCCTACACACTGCCTTCCATAAGGCTCATGGTGAAACAAGGCTATTACTAGAAAATACTTTTGGAATACTCCTATTTTGTATCATGCATGCTGTACATAGTTTATACAAGATGTTTCACAAGAAGTCAGTGAAAATACAGACTGGCCAAGTACTTACTGCAAATATAAATATCTTCATCTCTATGAACAGCTGCCAAATTTTAGTTTATGCATAGCGGATATAATGTGTGGTGTATAGAATGTAAAGGTACTTTAATGGGGGAAGAATGGAAGGAATAGGATTTAGCAGGAAACCATCAAAGATGCCCTCTGAAGGTAGAGTATTAATTAGTCCCTAGGAGCCTTCCTCCCAGTCAAAGAAGGCAAGGAGGAGGGAGAGGGCACCCAAGACAATACTGTGTTTTATTTGCTGGTGTTGGTTTTTGATCTTCCTGATTCTGCCTCCTGACTGTTAGGATTACAGGTATACACCCAGCTACATTATTATTTTCTTGATAACTATCTTTTTATTTTGGTTTGGTTTTTTGAGACAGGGTTTCTCTGTGTAGCCTTGACTATCCTGGAACTCTCTGTAAACCAGGCTGGCCTCAGACTCAGAGATCTGCCAGCCTCTGCATCCTGAGTGCTAGGATTAAAGGTGTGTGCCACCATTGCCCAGCTGATAACTGTATCTTTCAACTGTATTTTAGGCTCAGGCACCAGAACAAATAGTGACATTATATGAAGATGAAGATGAACAATACCCAGTTCATATGTCCTTGGTAGAATTGGGGCTTGCAGATAAAGATGAATGATGTAAGTGTACATTCTTGGTCAAATATTTAGTCAGCAAATGTGTGTCTACACATGACTGCTGTGGCAGAGATTAATGCTAAATTGCCTATGAAAGCATGTCAGATATTCTAATTTCTCAAAAGATGAAGTTCTATAAGAACTCTCCTCCAGATTTTGTTACCTTAGGCGGCCTTTCTGCCCCTGGAACACCATTATCAATGACCCCTTGTATTTGTAAATATGGTCAGGAATGACTGTCATGACTGCCCTAGTCCGATGGGTATGGGGCAAGCCAAACAGGACAGTAGGCACCACAAGTAACTTGTGCTCATTACCAAATAGCAGGCAAACAGAAGCACTGGGGGACTCGGCCAGCTAACAAGTGGTTCAGCTAAAATAAAGCATTAAAGGCAAGTCTTACGGTAACATTTGTTTGTTTGTTTGTTTTTTCAGGTGTACAAGAGCGCCTGTAGCTGCCCAGAAAGTTTTTTGTTAGATTTATACCATTTCAGGTTTGACTTTTAACTTGTTCTGCAGTGGTATCATTTTTCCTCCTTCAGTCATATTTGTTATATTGTTAAAGAATGGTGTGGGGGAAAAGTTATTTTCTTTGAAACTTTTGTTTTTCCTGTAATTTCAAAATAAAATTTAGGCACATAGAAATTTTAGTTCATGCTATTAATTAACACTTTGCTTAAGAAATATCAAAACTGTTGATGGTCCTGCAGTGTCTCACCCCATCCCCCACTCCCTTACAGAGGTATGATTGAGTTGATGTCTTTGTATTGTAGCTGCATATGAATCTTAATGGTAGCTAAGCCTAGGTAGCGTTTCCACTGTTGGCTTTGCTGTGTTGGTGGCAGCTCTACTGCACTAAGCTCCCTGCCCATTTGAGTGTTGGCTGCTGAGCTGGCTACTGGGCTTTGCTGTTGTTTTTCAGTTGCATTCCCCCATAAGCCTTATACATACATGTGAGAGGTTCTTCCTCTGTATGCGTAGTAGTGGAACTTGCTAGGTCAAGGAGTAGTTACTTTTGAAAAGTTACACATTGCTGAAGATGGCAGTTGGCACCTTTTCTTTTAAAGTTTATGACCTACTTAAAAATTCTTCAACATTAGACTGGTAACAGTTTTGTGTTTTGTTGTTTTTTACATTTAGGGTTTTGTTTTGGGGGGCTTTGTTGTTACTGTTGTTGTTGTTTCTGGATTTTCGAGACATGGTTTCTCTGTGTAATAGCCTGGCTGTCCTGGAACTTACTCTGTAGACCAGGCTGGCCTCAAATTCACAGAGATCCGCCTGCCTCTGCCTCCTAAGTGCTGGGATTAAAGGTGTGCGCCACCACCTCCTGGCCATTCAGTTCTTAAATCAACTGGAACTGATATTTTTTAATGAGTAATTGTCAATACATATTGTCCTAGTTATTGTTAATAATAACTTGCCCTTTCTTGGCTTGCTTGTGCTGCCTACCACGTCTGTGGTAACAACATGAAGGCTGTGATTTGTTCATACCTGCTACTTCTGTTTTTTTTTTTTTAAGATTTATTTATTTTTGTACACAGTATCTGCACATATGCCTGCAGGCCAGAAGAGGGCATCAGATCTCTTTATATAGATGGTTGTGAGCCACCATGTGGGTACTAGGAATTGAACTCAGATCCTCTGGAAGAGCAGTCAGTGCTCTTAACCACTGAGCCATCATCTCTCCAGCCCAGTACTTCTGTTTTTGACAAGTTATACAGCACCCAGATTGTAACTGCGTTCTCCTAAGACTATTTACTACTTGTAATATGGTTTGGCCTATTTGTGTTCATGAGTAGCAGTAAACGACAGTTTTCATTTTATTATTGGCTGCATAATGTTTTGACGCTCACTTTCTGGGACGCCACAGCCTGGGGAGCAAGTATTTGAGACACCTCTTCTACTTCTTATTTTAAAAGCCTGCACAAGCCATGTGTGGTGGCACATGGCTTTAATTCTATCATTGGGGACACAGAGGCCGGTGGATCTCTGTGAGTTCAACACTATACTGACCTACAGAGTGAGTTCCAGGCTAGTCAAGGCTACAGAGTGGGGCCCAGTCTCCAAAAAAACAAGAACAAAAAAGCACAGATGTTAAAAACAATAACAAAAACTGTACATAGTCTACAACAAAGTAGTAATACTTTCTCTTCCTAATTGTAGAAAGACATACTATGGGAGCTAGCTGCTTCTGTGTTTCAAAGAATGTAAAACAGGAAGAAACTGTGTGATAAAACTTTAATTTTAAAAACCAAATAATCTTTACATTTAGACATACACATATGCACACACACACACTATAAATTAAACAACTGAACACACAAGAAATGTACATACTCAACAAAAAAGCCATTTAGTGTTAGTTCATGATTAATCCCATGAAGATCTTTACAGTTCCGTGTCCATTAGAACGTTACCATCTTTGTCCTTTACTCTGACTCGACCAGATGTGTACTTTGTCTCTTGGTGGCCATTTGCATAGACAGTTTTAACAGTCCCATCTGGATATTCTCGTCTCTTGAATTGGGCAGTATGGAGTTCTCTTTGGCCATTATTAAACTCTATGATTTTGTTGCCATCACTGTAAAATTTAAACCAGAATATAATTTCTTTAAAAACTATATCAGTAGGACCTAGGCATAGTGGCAGGCACATGACTGTAATACCAGCCCTCGGGAGCCGAGGATAGGAGGACAGAGTTCAAGACCAGCCTGAGCTACAGGTGCAAAATAGGGCCCCTGAAATTTAAAACAGAGCTGGAGGTAGCTCAGTGGAAAAATACTTGCCTGGTGGGCATGAGACCTTGGTTCATTCCTCAATAGTATGTAAGAATAGAACGAAAAGAAACACACAAGAGGAAAGCTAGCTAAAAGTAGCCTTTTGATTCTGGCGATTATTTCTTCTCCTAAACACACTCCTTGGTCCTCTTCCCAACTGTAATATTTCATTCTACTACCAAGTTAGCCTTTACATGTGACCATCAAAGTTTCTTTTAATGGATTTATTTGTATTTTTACTATGAGAAGTGTTCAGCATTTTGGTTTTGTTTTTTTTTTCTTCGTTTTTTTCATTTAAAAACTTTTCCTTTTTTTTTTTTTTTTTTGACAGTTTCTTTGTGTAGCCCTACCTGCCTGCAACTCACTATGCAAAGCGGGCTCTCCTCAAACATCCATCGATCCACCTGCCTCCTTAGTGCTGGGAGTAAAGGCTTGTGCATGTCACTATGCCCAACTCAAAGGGGGTCATTGATTGTGTTAAAGTTTAGCTGTTCAGGTTCCTTGGGGGAAGGCTGGGATGGCTCCTTTTTTTCCCACTAAATTGAAGACCACCTAAGTACTTTGAACAACAGAACAGTCAGAATATGAAAAAATTAACACAACGACATGTTGGGCATGTCTGTGGAACATTCACAATAAATTTCCAGGCTTAGGTCCAAAGTGCCATGACCAACAGAAGTCTGTAAATCAGCAATTTGTAACACAGATGGGCAGGTGTTACTAGCAGAACGTCCTGTGCCACATACACACGTGAGACCCAAATCCATTCCAAGAGTTGGTGCTCTCCTGGGGATCCCTGCCCAGCACAGCTGCATATCAACATCCAGGTGGTTCAGTGGCACACTACATCTTGAGAGCCACTGCTCTTAACTAATTTGGAAACAAGACTGGCTATGAATTCATCTATGTTGGAAACAAGACTGGCTATGAATTCACTATTTTGAAGCTAGATGCATAGGTACATACTTTTTATTTCTCTGCTTATTACACAAAATTTCAAATATAAGAGTAAAAACATTTTAAGTTTGTTCTGATGTTACTCAATGTATGGTAGCTTTCTAATTTTTTCAACTACTGTTTATTTGCATGTGTATCAGATTTCTACACTAAGGGGGAAACACTGCACTGCCAAGTCGGTGTATCACTTGAATCAGTTTTAGCTTTCTTGTCAATTTGTACCATAGGCTTCATGTTGGTTAGCGTGTTGTTTCCAAAGATGGGATACTTAGTGGTCACATCCTAAGGTAAAGAGGGGAAAACTCAAGAATTGGATGTAGGGCTGGAGAGATGGCTCAGAGGTTAAGAGCACTGGCTGCTCTTCCAGAGGTCCTGAGTTCAATTCCCAGCAACCATATGGTGGCTCACAACCATCTATAAAATTTGATCTGGTTCCCTCTTCTAGCATGCAGACAAAACACTGTATAAATAATAAATAAATTAAAAAAAAAAGAATTGGATGTAGCAGAGCTTCACCAGGGCTGTGATTAAAATAAACTCTATATCATTAGGTTGGTTACAGTGCACACCTATAATCTCAGCACGGGGTAAGCAAAGGCAAGAAGGTCAGGAGTTCAAGGCCAGCCTAAGCTACCAGAGACTCTGCTTTTAAAAAGTCTCTAGCCAGGTGGTGGCGGCACACACCTTTAATCCCAGAACTCGGGAGGCAGAGGCAGGCGGATCCCAGCCTGGTCTACAAGAGCTAGTTCCAGGACAGGCACCAAAAACTACAGAGAAACCCTGTCTTGAAAATCCAAATAGATAGACAGATAATAGATGATAGATAGATAGATAGATAGATAGATAGATAGATAGATAGATAGATAGATAGACAGACAGATAGACAGACAGACAGACAGACAGACAGACAGACAGACAATAAAATAGATAGACAGACAGACAGGCAGACAGGCAATAAAATAAATAAATAAAAAGTCCCTGGAGTGGGCAGCCAGGGACCACATAAAGCTAACCTTCAGAAATAAAGTATTCAGAAGGACAAATAAAGAGTTTGTTGGTTTTGAAAGGTTTGGATCAAATATGTCAAGAGAGTAAACTGTAACAGACTGGGCAGAGAGGTTGAGAATTTAAAAATACAAGCAAGAGAGGAAAGGTTTAGTGGCTGTGTCAACTGCACAGAGGGCAGCCTGCCTTCTGTGCCTCATTCTGCTTTCAGGGTTCACTAAACTTCTGAACAAATAACTACCTCTCCCTTCCTCTCCTGAGTACTGAGCAGACTCCCTCTAAATCCCATTAGCTCACACTGTTTCTAAACTTGACAGTGCACGCATGCTTTTCTCAGACTCTGTATTCACTTCTCACTCAGCTCACTGAGACTAATAGTCACTAGTATATTTCGTTTTGTATTTGGGAGGGTGCAGAGCCAAAGGAATTATCTACTTTACTCCCTTAAGACAGGGTCTCTCACTAAACTGGAAGCTTGACATTTGGGCCAGGCTTACTAATAATGAGCTTCCAGAACCCACCTATCTTTCCCCTGCCCCATCATCTCCAATGCTGAGGTTCCAGGAACATGCATCCACGTCGTGTACAGGGTGGTAAGTCCCACTCAAATCTTCATGACTATACAGCAAGTGTTCTTCTCTACTGAGCCAGATCCCAGCCCCAAATGTTTCAGATTAAAAAAAAAAAAAAAAAAAAAAAGGTTGAACCATGAAAATTTGGAAAATGGAGAAACAGATTTAAGAGGCGGCATACCGTTGCACTCGGACAATTGTGCCATCTGGAAAGATGCTCTCTTCTTGACCATCAGCAAATAAACTCTTAATAGTTTGGTCAGGGAATGTGATTTCTTTTCTTCCATCTGGGAAATGTTTTTCTGTTTTAAAAATGG